GCATTCATCATTTCAGCCAGCTTTAAAAATATTTAGTAAGTTTCTCTTATTTTATATTTTTCTTTTGAATTACATAAAAATCTAATAGCAAATACGTAGTTTCCTATATAAAAAAAAAGAGAATCATCGCTGCCATTCATCATTGTCTATTATACGTGATAATCATCTCATGTTTGGTCTTGTCTATGTCTATGCTAAAAGTGTACTTCTGCGGCATCGTAAGTTTCATTTTTTTTTATCTTTATTTTCTTTTTCTTTTTTCTATTTATTATAGATGATGTTGAAACACTTTCTAACGATGGAGTTGTACAGCGATAAGAAAAATGTTTTTGTTAATAATGAAAAGAAAAAAAATTATCTTTTTGTTTTTTAAGATTTGTTTTTCAATTTGATGCTCCGAGTAAATTAAAAATACTTCGCAAACAAGAAATGATCTTATCTGATGTTCAATGGCATATTGATATCGATGAAAGCTCATTACCTGATAAAAGAATGTTATTTGAATGAGATTTTTCAATTGAAACTCCTCCTGAGCCAACACCAACGGAATTTGTTCAATCGTTTGTTTGTTATTATTGTTATCTCCCTGCCTTCTCTTTTTATTGCACTCGATTTTTAGGATAACTTGCACCACTTCCATGGAATGGATATTCCTAAGTTAAGTCATGAAAAAAGTATAATTTTATTGCCTGATATTGAAGTAGGTATTATTTGAAATTGATAGATGAAAATGAATATGTTTTTATTTTAGAAATCTATGCCGAAATTTGATATGATACAATTGATGATCGTTTTGGTGAATCATTACCAGCACTAGCACCGATAACTGCAATGGATATTGTTGATCAAACATTCTTTGGGTGTGCGTGTGGGCTCACACGATATTAACCTACATACACCCACACCATTATGTTTTTAACTTGAAGTTTAGGCATTATTAGCATTAGAAATTATTAATATCAAGGTACTAGCATTAATAAGGATTAATTTTAACTATAATGCATCATTTCACAGAGCAGAACAAAATTGTTCTGTTTTAGGAAACTATATATTACAGTTAAAACTAATGCTAAATTAATGGTAAGACCTTGGTATTAGTTAATTCTAATGCCTACAATACCTAAGGGTTAGGTTAACCCTAATCCGCCCACCTGGGGTCCGTACGGATCCCAGCTCAAAATAAGAATTCTGAAAGTGCGTCTTGTTCTTTTTACGAGTACGTCTCAAATGGACAAAAATTCTATAGATTGGTGGTATATGATACTCTGCTTCAGTATAACATGAATTGAAAAGTTAAACGCTCACAATTAAGTTTGAACCTCATCCAACTTAGAATAGTACAATATAAGCGTTTATAGAGGTGGTCGGGTTAGGGTTAAAAAAATAACATTAATACGCAAGCAGTAGCATTGCTCTTAGCTTAATGCCAACACGATATCCCTAGCAATGTCTATAAATTCAAAATCAAACCTTTCTCAAGGTCTGTTTGAGACAAAATCATGAGCAACCGTGTAATCCACTTGCTATTCTCTCCAATTGTATATGTTGGAATTGGAACAGAGCTCATGAAAGACTAGAAATAGGATGAAACGAAGTGTAAGCAGTAATGCACATCTTTTCAATCCAAAACCCAGGACATTATCGATCAGTCGGCTCTTGTCGGGCGGGTTATAATTCCGAAGTAACATGGTGACCGGATTCGGTTGGTTAATTTCTGGTGAATTCCGATGATTTTCTTTGTTTTCTTATGAAATCTGGTTACCGGAATCCGCCGTGTCGCATGACGCTCGATTCCATAGTAGATCCGGCTTAATCAGTCTCACCGGAACCAACCGGGCCATATCAGAACCGAACGGTCCTACTCACCGGATTAAGCCACTTACTAAAACACAGATCTGACCGACGACATCTACAACTAATTACCAGATGCTAAGGGAAGATCTTGTGATCCATTCCGGTCCTTAATTAACAGCTCATCCAAGCGATGAAAAGCATGAATTAAAAAGTATGGTTCATCCAATAGCTTATTTATGAAAAATCAATCCACATGAGCAACATGATTATGTATTGATTGATGCTGAGCGAAGTTATCGACTCGAATGAATCTCACTAAACTTGCTTATCATAACTCCAGCTAATATAACTTAATTCTACGATCGATTCCTGCCCTAACCCGAAATCCACAGCCAGTAATGATTACCCAGGGCGAAATAAACTTGCTATATACTCACACTATCTTGTTCGTCCATGCAGCTCGACAAAATTTAAAACGTATTACACACGTGTTTCCTCGATCTGACAACACCAAAAGCATCATTTCAAATCACCAGCAAACGCTTTCCGGACGCTGAAATGTTGCTTACACATAATATTAATAATTTCATATGCCACTAAATCGTTTTCAGATGTAACTCAGAATCCTCTTTCCTGAAGAAAAGCTACGTTGAAACCATCGGGAATGATTTTTTGAACGATTTTTTTATGTCTTAGGGAATTTTTCGATACGTCCAGGTTGAGCTGCAGAGTGATTTTCGCCGAAGGAAAGTGTGGTTGGATCCGTAATGAAAGATGCTTAGAATCCCGTTTCAGGAAGACAAGCTTCGTTCGAACTATCGACAATGTTTATTTGAACGATTCTATACGACTGATACAATATTTTGATTGGTGCAAAATGACGCGTGGAGCGATTTTCGGTTAATTATTATGCAACAAGATGACTCTTTAGATATATTCATAATGATATTAATTGATGAAAAAGTTAGTAGTGATATTCCAGAATGACATTCAGATGCATTTTCAATGAACTATTAATGATTTTGATGGATGCAAAATGATTGATGTAGCGGTGTTTTCAAGAATTGAAATTATACAAGATGACCCACGAAACGGGTTTAGAATCTTGTTTAATGAATAAGAAGTATGGTAGCATGGTTCTGCATTATTTTTAGCGTGTTTATTGTTAGTCGAGCTATTGATCGATTCGGGTTGCAATGTTGTTCAAGGTGGTTGTTATTGGTGGAAATCCTTATTGTGCAGTCTGTTTTGGTGATATTAGGACTATGTAGGATTATGCATGAGGCGTAGTTTTGTCGGTTGGTACGCGTTTTCGGAAGACTACAGATTATTCACCTTCTGATTGAAGAATGCTTGTATGAGGGATTTTGTATGAGGACCTGGTCATCGGAATCTGATGGAATCCGGTCAAAGCTGTTGTGAAGCCCTTAGGAACCGGGCATCATCCGGCAGTCGGAGTCGATTGGTTTCGACAATGTTCGGTTGTATCATCCGGCAGGAAACGACCGGATCATTTTCCTTTGAATTCCTGCCCGGATTCCGGGAGCAGAGATTCCGGCGAAATCCCTGTCGGGTCCTGGCAGATTTGAGTGGGAAACATGCCGGCTTCTAGAGTGATCCGGGACCAGTTCCGATGGGTTCCGGCAGGATCCGGAGGCAGGATCGAGTGCCTTGGGTATTTTATTTATATATAAATATAATCGTATTTTTCTTTCCTATTTATAAGTCTTCGTATTTATCTGTAATACGTGAGATTTTTCAATGTTTTTAGGACTTCTTTGCACTCCCCGGTACTTCTCTGTACTTCCCGGTACTTCTCTGAACTTCTCGTACTTTTGTACTTCGGAAGTACAAAAGTTCGCTTTTCCATCGTTGCTATAAATGCACTTAATTCTACTCGAAGAAACGATGCCATTATTTACATCGTCACGCACGGGAGGAAAGAAGACACAATAGAGAGAGATGAAGAGAGAGGAAAGAATGAATGCAAAAGAACGGTTGACGTGTGTACATCTCGAGTTGGATTGCACATAAAAAAACACAATACATATAAAATGAAACAAGAACGTATAAGAGTTAAATAAATAATATTTGTTAGAGTACTCTCTAACACCCCCCCCCCATCCTCAGAATCAGCTTGCCACTTTGGGGTATAGGTTTGGGCTGAAACTTTCAGAAATGAATGGGTTTAGTGAGAAACGCTTGTGGTAAAAGTTTCAGCCTTGTATACCTTACTAAACTAGACTTATGAGTTGTTTTTTAACTGTCACGAGATTCAAAACAACTTCATGACTGTGAAAGTTATCGAGGTCGGGTGGATTTCAAATTAAAGCTAGCCTTCATACGCAACGTTTCATCGGACGGAATTTTGAAATTCGCTTCTATTAATTTTTAACCAGTATTTCATTTCGTATGACAGCCAAATTAGGTATAAAAAAACGCGCTAAATCAGACTTTTCTCAGTCCAGGAATAAAATATCGAAAATCTGATCGATGAAAAGTTAGCTCTGATTGAGACCTTTAAAATAAAATAAAAAATATCGGGGAAAGCTAAAGCCAAACGAAAGTCATATCCGTTTTGCTGCTTGAGACCCATGTTTTGAGACCAACATTAAGGAGTTTTTAGAAAAGTGTGTGGGAGTAGAGAAGATAAAAGAGTATTTCTTCAATAAGTCTCTCAAAACGTAACCTTTTTTCAAAAAATTATATATATTCTGAAAGAGGAGATCACGGGAAATCGTGCTGTGATAAAAACTCGATTTCAGTTTTTTCGAAAAATTGGCTTTCCTGGGGGGGGGGGCCTTAAAGCAGCACTTGAATGATGTTAAAATTCATGATATNCCCCCCCCCCCCCCCCCCCCCCCCCCCCCCCCCCCCACCCCCCCCCCCCCCCCCCCCCCCCCTTAAAGCAGCACTTGAATGATGTTAAAATTCATGATATACAACTTAGTCGATCTGGATCATTTACATTATATGCTAGTGATGTTAGCTCGAGGCTGTGGGCATGGGTGATGGTGGGAGCGGGGATGCGTGTGCCACTAAAAATCTTCCGATCACACGCACACCCACACCCTCAAGATAGTGAGCAATTTTTTGTAGTTTATTAATCTTGTCTATTTAATTTAAAAGATCGCTGAAGAAAAAGATAAAAATATATTAAACGATGGTGAAATAGGTTCTTTTTCTTCGGAATAAAATTTACTGTTTTAGTGTATTGGATGCTTATTGACATATCTAAATAAAAGAAGCACGTATTGATGTTTTTTTTTCGTTTGAAATCTAATGTCCAACTTACTTAATGAACGGACGCAATGTAACATATATGTCGCGTCGTGATCCGGGATTATTCTGAATAATATCATCGATTTTTAACCATTCAACGACCTACGACCAAATGAAAGTACCCATTTTTGAATTCAATGTGTTTTTGAAAGTGAAAAAATACGGATAATTACCTTATTTTCTTTGGTATCGTTTAAACTAAATTTCACTTCGTTTTCATTAACACGAACAATGAAAAGACCTATGCTGCGCATCTTATCACCAGTACCTAGTTTGCTGTCAACGCGACAATGCTCAAAGTGATCTTTTTTTAAATGAAGGAGATGACAAATATTTTTGTTGTTGATTGGTTTGTGAATTCTGCCTCTTTTTAATTTAATTGAAACCTCTTCAAGCAATTCACGCACAGATGCTTCCCATGGAGTTTCCAATGTACCATCTTCCTTGATTTTTGGATGACCTTTGATAGCGCTCCAGCTTCCATGGTGATTTTGGACTCCCAACACCTAAACATATATTGTATATAATGAAGAAAACAAAATTAATTACTTCTAATCAAAATACCAAAACTATTAAGCTATCTATAAAATGGAGTTTAGCTCACGAAATAAACATCGAAGGCAAATTATTTTTGGAAGAAAATACGATTTATTTACCTCATTTTTCGTATTGAGAAACATAAAACCATATGATATATTGTCCATTATCAATTGTGCTTGATTTACCCAATTTGCTTGTTTACCAAACTCTTCGCGTACTACAAACATATCAATTGAATTATGACAGAATTTCGTAAAAGTAATTTTACATACTATACCCATGAAGTTTTTCCGCGACATCTTTATATATCTGTCCACTGGTTTCTCGTGACATCCCACATTTTTTATACTTTTTACCTTCTTCATTCCAAAACCCGTCCTTTGCGTCTTGAACTTTCTTAAGTTTTGTTATTATCTCTTGTTCACTTTGACCAGGAAACAACCTTCAAAAAGCACAGTAGAAATAAGAAAAAATAATCAACAGATTGCTTGTGCACTATCTGATAGAGTTATGCTTACGGAATTATATTCTCAGGTAAACGACGATCTTCAGATGGTTGGTCTTTAACACATCTAATAAATAATAAATCAATGTGGTTGAACTATATATGATAAAAAAAAGATAAATCTTTAGTATATGACATAAGCTGTTATGTATAAATGATTGTTTTTTTCCCACGTTAAGAAATCCAAAACTTATTTTATGACGAGATTTATTTAAAAAAATCTATTGAATCATTGATTAGAATAAGTGTGCTAAAATCCTTTCCTTATTTTTATAACTAAACAGTGCACCCATTTAGTTTACTTACTGAGGTTGATTAAAACTGCTTGTGGGAACGTTCGTTTTTTCATCAAGATTTTCGAACAATTTATCAGAACAATTTGATATAAAAGCATCCTGCCCAGTAAGGATGATGCTTGGACCTATCAAGATTTGAATTTCTGCCGTATCTTGTACTTGACCAATGCAGTCTCCCGAATCTTGTCCATATTGCTCTTCGGAATTTGTTAAATTTTGATCATTCTGATTTTCTATTGTTGTTACAGGATAATTGTCAGGATTATATCCATGTACGATTTGAGATGTAAACGAGCAATCTGTAAAATAAAATCATACATGAAGTATCAACCCACCTAAAACCGGGCTTTATTTGAAAACAGGACATCGTTTTTGTCATAGCTGCAGATTAAAAAATGCAGTTTCATTACCTTCATCATTGGCAGTTGAATTTTGATTAGATTGTGTTTGATAAGTATCATTTGAAAAATTCATAGCTATATAATAATAAAAAATATAATTTTAGATAAACGTTTCATTTTTAATGATTTGTGAATATGAAAGCGAAAGAATTCTTCGAAAAATTTAAGTTGACAAAGAGATCACTATGTTGAAAAATCAAGTGCATACTAATCACCCTATTCTCATCGAATATCACAATAAAAAAATAGGCTAATATTCTATCATTCATTGCATTATAGTAGAGAGAGAGAGAGAGTACCTACATAAAAACTGTAAAACAAAACATACTTACTAGGTTTATTTGATATAGTTATGTGTAGCGGAATGCCCATCATTATATACTATGTGAAATGCAACTGATGTAAAATAAATCTGTATCAACATGAAAAACATAGAGGATCTCATAATATATAAAGCTCAGGAGATCTTGCGCTTATGTTTCTACATAGCGGTGCTAATTTTGTGTGCCTCGTCTCACTTACGAAACTGAGAATCAGTAGTAATGAATGATAAAATATAAGATAGATAATAGTAAATCACTCATAAATAGCTTCTTCTCTTCTTGCTGATGAATTATAAATTACGTGGATTTGAATCTTAGCAACTTTTAAGTAAATTATCAGTAAATATTGTCCAAATCATTTTATTTATTATTAAAAAAATATTTCTAAGCACTATTGTCTTCATCATCAGTTGATTTTTCTCTGTTTTACGCTTTACTTGTTTACATATTTTTCTTATTATTATTCTTATTTCTAACATGATTGATCAATACGAGGAGAAACAAATAATTGTAAAAGAAAAGGAACGCACGAGCACACCAGTTTATCGAAAATGCGACAGTACGATCAAACATATAAAAGCTTTCTTTCTGTCGAATAGAATTGCGAGTAACAAGAAACTTCACAGGTCTACTTCTGAAAAAAGGGAAAAAATCGTCGCCATATACGCATCATCTATAACGATAGTATGTCTACGGGCGCCTAAGTTTTCTCTCATTGAGTTTTATTCTTTTGCGCAAACGTGCATATTTAAGTGACTTTACAGTTCCTTTTTCATAAATTCTTACTATATAAATAAAGAGGAATTAAAGAAAACAAAATTATTTTCACGAAGGAAAACATTTTAGATGTAAAAAGACAAGGAAACATTACATGAATACTATTTTTTGCATTTAAATTAGTCATAATGAAATGTAAATAGAAAAAGATCAATAATTGGGCGTGATTTTCTATTCTCTCAACTTCGGTTGAAATATAAGATGTCGAACGGAAAAATATCGAAAGATAAATATGCCGAAAAGGAGTGAGTGTGAGCCTGTATACATGAATATGGGTGTCCCTGGGTAGTCAGCGAGACCCACACGCATGCGCTCATTGGAATTTGCGCCTTTCACTGATTTTTCCCAGGAAAATCACGATTTATGTACCGTATTGATAGAAATCGACGACTTCGAGGACATCGGTCTACACGAGGAAAATAAATATCTAGATAAATAAGAAAAACTTTCAATGAGCAAAATCAGAGTGTGGTGGTAAGACAAGAATACTCATGAACTATTTTATTCGGCGCCGACAAGCCTGTGATTATCAATGTTGGTTTCTCTTTCTGTTGCAAATGAAACATTTATACTCTTTCGCTTGAACGAAACACAACATGAACTTTTGAGTGAATCAAAAACATCACTTCACATGAGTTACTTCTGTGCTTTAATCATTATAAATGATTGGAGCGCAAAGTTAGATGTAATTTTTAGTAGCCAGGCTTTCAAAACAAATAGACAACAAGACCGTTGAGGTTTTTCTTGTCTGCATTTTATTTTTGATAGCTTATCTTATCAACTGCGATTTAATGTTTTTCAAAGTTTAAAAGGCATACCCTAACGAAAGATTTTAGATATTTAATTATTATTCACTAATTCTTATACATAATACTTACCTTTCATTTTCTAAGTAGAATTTCAAAAACATATGCATTATGCTAATTTTCTTATTCGACAAAGGATTACCAGGATTTATTGATTTACTCGAAATTCATAAGTAAACAATTTGTCGACCTTCATCGACATCATTGTACATACCGCTTTTACTTGTTAGTTTTGAGAAATTCGTATTAGACACTTTCCGGAAAATGTTTATCCAGTATGCATTCGTTTTCTACGGTTGTTTAGTGAAAGAGACATTTTTTAAATCTCTGTTTGAGTATTTTTCCAACTTAAAAATTTTATAAACCTCAATTGTTTCTAGTGTAGGGCTTAAACTTAGATATATGATAGGATAAATTGTGAGTGCTCAAAATTGAAACAAAATGAACAAAATACATAGGCTTCATATTTTCGAGCGTTGCAGGTCTGTACGAGTACGTCGAATTTTGCGTTCTGCTATTCCTTTTTCTTCCTTTTCCACAGAAAAATCTTATCATCTTACAACGTCATGTATTTCGTCTAGTGGGGAAATGCAACTGGGTTTTTTCCTTAAAATATTTAAATTTGGATTTTGTTGAATTTTTATCAACGATCTCATTTTACTACTTTTGTAGAGGCGAAGCGTCTAATTATTCTTTCTATTCCTAACTAAAACATAAGTAGTTACAATGGTAAGCATGCTTTTAAAGTTGCCAACAACACCGTTTTATATTTATGCTAAATTTCGAACCTGACGCTTTCAAGGAAGATTTGATGTCAAAATTCTGCATCACAATATTAAATACGAATACAATTCATTTTTCTACTCAGGAAAACGATCCAATTCACGATGATACTGAGAATTTCGATCATGTGACTCCGGCTAGCTATGATGAGTTAGCCTTATTTTGATAAAGAAAAAATGAATTTACTGTCTGAGATATCATTGACCAGTTCCCGCAGAATACAAAAACGAAGATACTGCTATCGAAGCTATCTCTACATGTTTCTATGAGCGTTATAATACTTGTCCAACTTTTTATGTGGGTCCTCTTATAAAAGCATGCGAAGCAGCTTTCAGTTCAACAGTGATTGAAGAAGTTCGTGTACATGTATTCTTATGATTCTAAAAATGAAACATATTTATTTTGAATTCTAGCGTCGTCCGGTACTAGGGTGTGGGTGTGGGCCACTGGTCAGATTAACAACTAATTCACAACCCAACACCCACCCTCACAGCCACACACAACGGCCACACCCACATACCCTTTAAAATTGGATGAAAATATTATTACTAGAATCGGATTATTCGATTTTCTACCGTTTTCAATAATGGCATGGTTGAGTAATGTATTTTTGAAAATGAAACTTAAAAAATTGAATTTTTTCTGAACTCCTTACTATGACAAACAGCACATGTAATATTAAGTCGATCTTTGACATATCGTGTTTCAACATACGATAATAATTACTTGTTCAAGGTATAAACTAACGTAGCAATAAATAAAACTCATGTCTCATTTCCATGAAATAAAAAGTGATGGCTTTCTATTACGACAGTTCATGTAACTCTACCAATACTGGCCTTCCATTCATCGCCAAGTTTTTTCCTCGCATTCACATATAGAACCAAACATTTAAAAACATATTCTGAGACTTATTTGTGCATGTAGAAAAACGGTTGAAGATTAGATTAAAATCGATTGTGTCTGACGTAAACGTTACTTAAAATTGCACTATTATAGACTGCCGTTATCAAGAGTTTTCAGTCAAAAAGGCAGATTTCATTTTATTGCGAGAGTTTTTAATAATATTTTGGGTGAGATAACTTTCATCAATTGAAATTGATTTCTAATAATAATTTCTAATTGCTGTATTTTGAGTCATCGGTTATAATAAATGAAAAAAGATTTTAAATCGAATGAAATCTGTCTATTAGCTGGTAAAATCCGATTAAAGTAGTGCTACTACAATTGATTTTTAATCCAAAAACATTCAATTTAAATTTGAAGTTTAGCCTTTTATCATTGGTACACGTTTTAGAAACTAAATATTGCAGACTACTAAGATTTTTACTGAAAAAAATTCTTTAATCGGAGTAAAGTGATTGTAATTGTAAAACAATTGTCTGTTACTCAAAAAACCAAGTTTGACGTAATTAAATATAAAGAAATTTGAGAATTTTTGAAAACAAAATTAGAAATCAGATTAGCTTCGATTTCGCCTTTGTTTTGCTCTTGTGAACGAACTTCTAATATAAAATAAAATGATTGTTTGTTTATCGTGGGTATTAAACGAAAGGCGGCTATTTTTCAACAGAGATAAATTAAGTCTTCTCTTAAGATTGACAGACAACATTCGGTTGGATTCCTTGGTTAAACTTTGTTTCGATCCACATACACTTCTTGAGCTGGGCAAGAAAACCTTCTGACATAAAAACTTCTGGGAGAAAAGTACTAGAAAAATAAATTTGAATGGAATACAAAAGTGTTGATCTAGTCACAAAGTTTAATCGATTGAACATCAAATAACTAGGTTAAAATTCAATGAAAATATTGCCATTTTAATCAGTTTTCTATAAAAAAAATTGAATTTTATTCACTTTTTGTCTGCATATTTTATGACCAATGGGTATATAGCGATCAGATCTGTCGTTTTGTATACAATCCAGAGTAGATTCAAATGCCGCAGATAGTGAAAAATTTTCTATGATCATTATAACCTGCATATACACCCTTTAATACATGGTCTTCTTTCTGCGATTAATATCATCAGACTCTCTTACCCACTTTTTTCTCCACATATTTTATGATTAATCAATAGATACCGATTAGATCTATCGTTTAGTATATAATCCAAAGTGGATGCACATGCGACAGATAGTAAACTCTTTTCTGTGATCATAACGCCATGCAAATACATATATTGGCTGTGTGATCTCTATACGAAAAAAGACAATTGAGCTATTTTTCTCGTACATTCATATGGCATTTGATAGAGGAATAAAAGAGCTTTAATTTGGTATATAAATCGGCCAGACATAAAGATGAATGAGCGAAATAATAATCACTAGAACATCATTTTCCCTATTGCTTTTTAGAGTATATAGCATAGAGGAAAAATGAGCAACTAAATTCAGTCGATTATAATGAGGAAAGCATCAAATCATTTAATTTCGAATAGAAATGGAGTTGTGACACCTAAATACAGTAAAACCTCTCTAATGTGAACACTATTGGGACTTTTCAAAAGTGTTCACTATAGGGAGGTGTTCACTTTCGAGAGGTGATGTATATTTTGCTGAGAAATGAAGAAAAGATCCCGAATGTGTCCTGTTACATTAGTCTAGAGTTAAACAAGAGCTATTTATTCTTTTACTCACTTATTTTATTTAAATGTTTTGTAGTTGAAAAATTTATAGATACAAAACAAAGTTTAGTTTTGTTTAAAAAAGTCTTCTAGTGTCGTTTGTCTTTATGTTTTTGAATTAATATAAACATCAGTTAACTTTGATTCTAATTCATTAATTAATTAATTGATGTAATTGTGGTTGTTGTGTTATTGCTAGTAAATGAAGTTTTCGTATCATTTCCATTGCTTCCGTTAATTTTGGTGGTGATTCTGTTAATATTTGATCATCATCATTGTAATCATCATCTTGTCCTTTAATCTCACATAATACAAGTTGTTCACACTGATCAAACCATTCGTTGTATGCGGGTGTATCATTATCTATGTCAACAAAATCAGCTGCATTCATTGTTTGACCACCAATTGTGACATGTTCTAATAGATCATCTAATTTTTTTAAATCTTTTTTATGGTTCATCATCCATTGATTTTGTGCTATGTGTTGATGATGTTTCTGTATCATTAGATGTTGCTGTTGTTATATCATCATGTTGTTTATCTTTAAAAGCAGCTACACGAAATGTATTTCGTATTGTTGTATGCGTAACAGCTTCCCATGCTGCATCAATCCAGTAAATAGCATCTAAATGTGTAATTTTAATATCATCTGGTGTTTGAGCTGTTGTACAACGTGCTATTATATGTTTAACTAAATGTTTACGATAATGTGTTTTAAATGCGTGTATAATACCTTGATCTAATGGTTGAAGTTTTGGTGTGGTATTTGGTGGAAAATATTGTAATTTTATATTTGATAATTCGATATCAACCGGATGACATGGTGCATTATCAAGAAATAATATTATTTTGCTTTTTTGCTTTTTCATTGATACGTTTAAATCCGATAGCCATTCGCTAAACAACTTCACATTCATCCATGCTGTTTTATTTGCTCGCCAATTTATTGGAAGTTTACTAACATTTAAATTTTTAAAACATCGTGGTTTTAAACTTTTAGCTGAAATGCAGAACAAAAACAAAGTTTATTAAGTATCAGTGGCGTAGCCAGGGGGGCGGCCATTGGGCAATTGCCCAACGGTTAAAAATTTATTGCCCAATAGATGTTTTAGGCAATAGCAATGGCCCAACACCGAAAAATATTGATATACATGCATGTACGTTTAAAAACGTAGATGATGTTATTTTATAACGCTGATTGCTGGTGAAATATATTCAAATGATCGAGAAAAGTCAATTGACGATATTTTCCACCGAAGCAATAATCAAAATAATGACAATTCTATCATATTTTAACCTGAAACAAACTTATGCCCTCACTTAAAGTTGGTGATAAAGATATCAGTGTATATTTATAAATCTTGCGAGAGAACAGAATTCTTTTGAACGCAAACGACAGACGTAGCTTAAACCGAATACTTGAACGGTATAAGTGTGGACAATACTTTCGAAATTTGATTAATAAAAATTCCAATTCGCAAAAGAAGATGTTAATGAGTGCCGTTTGAAAATTTCACTTAGGAATTAGTAGTAACAGTAATGGAATCCCATGTAAAACAATTAAGGGTATAGTCAAATTAAAACCGATTACAAAATGATTAAAAATTGATTAAAATCATGCACCTTTTAGTCAATTTTTAATCAAAAATAATCGAAAAAATCAAAGTTCCATTGATTATTTTGATCAATTTCGATTAAAATTCATGAAAAATTCATGAAAAAAACCCGGTTTCAATTGATTTCTGTCGGTTATGCGTAAAAAATCTTCAATTAATTTTCATCAATTGTAATTGATTTTTTTCATGAATTTTTCATCAATTTTAATCGAAATAGGTCAAAATAATCAATGAAATTTTGATTTTTTCGATTATTTTTGATTAAAAATTTACTAAAAGATGCATAATTTTAATCGTTTTGTAATCGATTTTAATCTGGTTATACCCTTAATATTTTTACATGGGATGATAATATATAGTTCAGAGGATGTACAGATAACTAAAAATATCAGCCGTTAAAAAAACTTACAAGGTTGAAAGGACTCGCTAGGAATATAATATAGAGCAGCAGTCATCATTACGTGTTGAGGGATGATAAAGTGAGCTGATGTTCTTTTCGTTCTATTTATGATTAATCATGATTTTTACTGTAGAAATAAATAGATAGATTTTGAGAAATAAAGAATTAATTTATGAAAAAGAGAACATTAGCAAACACGGTCATTTCTAATAGGGTAATGACAAATTTCCTTGAAACAACATAGATTTGGAGGTAGCAATAGACTTTTGACAACTTCCAGTTGCGGCCCAATCGATTTTCAATTGCCCAATACAGCCCATTTCTCAAAATAATTTAGCTGGGAAGCGGCCCAACACTCAAAAAATCCTAGCTACGCCACTGTGCATATGATTCATAATTTGTAATCAGGTGTTTTTACCTGTTCTGCATATTAATATAGAGAAAATAGCGGCTAATTTTTTGTTTTATTATTTTGAATTTACAAAAATAGGTGAATTCTTTTGAAAACCGTCATTTTGGAAAGATCTTTCCCAAAGAACGAAGTTTAGTAGTAAAAACTTTACAAAATATGTCACATTCGATTTCGTTATTGTAAGATTACGTTCGAGCGAATGTTTTATGATTTATCATTGTTTAAATCATAAGGTCACAAAAAACATGCGTATTTTATTTTCAAGTAAGTAAAAGAAACTCTATGGTATTTGAGTTTCACTCGTATAAGAAATGCGATGTGAAGCAAGAATTCGTATCTCCTACGAAAAATCTAGAATTCGAAGAATTTTATATACTACTGAAGTAGCCATAACGCTATTCGTCACTCTGAAAACTCTATAGTTTCTTAGCGATACATCTTTAAAGACCGATTTCGATTGATCGATTAATTATCTGCATGATTCATTTTCTTATATCAGCTGTGAATCTATAGACTAGTGTTAGAGTTAGTGATGTAACTTACTAACGCTAAATGAAGATTAAGACGTTCTTCTAGTCTAACTGGTTAGGACATCTGCCCGGATAGCGGAAGGTGTGGTTTCGAGTCCCACGAAGTTCACTTTTTCTTCGAAAGTCACATAACATCAGTAACACTGCTTGTCTCTTTCGCTCTTAATATATCTCTCTTTCATTCCTTCTGTTACGATCAAATTGTTCCCATTCGATCGTAAGACGGAGCAGAGATACCCTTTCTAGTACAGTGGCTAATACGCCTGCCCGGATAGCAGGAGGTGCATGGTTCGATTCCATGCGAAGGGGGATATCTTTTGCTCCGTTCTGTTGTCATTTCATCACGCTGCTGTCTCGCTGATAACAAGTTCATAACACCTTCTACATCCTTTTCATTCTATACATATTAGAGCTAACAGATAGTGTCTAACATATGTTGATGACGTCAATTTAAGTATCTCCGTATAAGTTTCTTTCATTTTCGTCATTTTGGAACTAAATTTGTGAACAAACTGAACTACAGATTGAAGTTTCGAAAACAGGTGTAAGAAGTTCGTTCTTAATACTTCCGTCACGTTTTAATGACTTTTTACGATTTTCCGTTCTCGAGATCATCGTGTCAGAAAACAACGAAACGATGCGTATGGCTAAGTAAAAAAGAAAGAAAAAAGAGAAGAAAAAAACTCGCGAGGGACTACAGAAATGCTATGCTTTGCATCGCATTAAAAAACCTCGCGCAGAACTACAATAATGCTGTACTTCGCACCACATTAATAATATCTATAATGCGCGTAATTCCAATACAAAATTGAACTTTATGTATCGTATTGATTAATTTGATCTGTTTATTAAAAAATCTATACTGTTTTAGTAATGATGCTAGTGCATCCGTTTTATGAATGAAGCATCTACTAAGCACTATCTTTATCACTTCCCAACAAAGAATAACATTATGGTAGAGAATACAAATCCTGAGTTCCACATTTTAGCCCTACAAGGGGCTACACTGAAGGTTTTTTTTATATATTGTTCACTTAAGGATGTAGGCGTGGGTGTAGACGATCAAAAGATTCTGGCACTCATACATCCACACCTTTTGCGATGGTGGGCTCAAAGCTCCTTTGGGGGTGGGGGGCGGCTCAGTCCATAGTTTGTGCCACAGAAATGATCGCTTGTACCACCCAGGTCGAACAGTACGGTCCGTATACGGCCGTTTACGGTTACTTTACGACTATTTTCCGGGAAAAAGTTTGCCGTAATATCTGGCGCCGTAATACCGACCGTATGATCATGAGAGTACGAAGCACAAACAGCCGTAAACCATGAAAATTCAGTCCCGTTTACGGTACCGTATTACTGTGCCAGGTATTACGGGCAAATGCGACCTATTTACTGCCGTAAATATACCGTTTTGACATCGTTTACCGTCGATAACCAGACCGTAAACGAGTCCGTTTTGATCAACCTGGGCAGAGAAATGGTCATGTGTGTCACCCTAGGGCAAACAATCAGATGTTAAGATCTGATAAGATTCTGCTTCTGATCTTATTTGATCTTGTACGATCATACAAAAAACATACAAAAAATCGTAGTCTCTGAGATCTTATATCAAGTCGCACAATCAGATTCTTGAAAGATCTTACACATTAATAAGATCTTTCAAGAATCTGATGTGCGACTTGATATAAGATCTCAGAGACTACGATTTCTTGTCAGATTCTTGTAAGATTTCGACCATAATCCAAGATCTTGTATGTATTTCATAAGATCTTGTGTCAGCTTTTTTGGCCTGGGACGGTTACAGACAGATAGACACACATGAATTACGGTTTCTAGATCCTATCCTTTCAGTCTTGGGGAAAACTTGGCTAGATCAGAACTTTTGAATTGATTCCCAGACACATGCAATAGGACTCCAAGGATGATCGATCAATAAGACCTTGCCGAGCTGTATTTGAAACAAATTATAGTTTTGTTGGAATCTGTCATTGGTCGAATCGTCTCAAGGTATACTCTTTTCGACTCATTTTTTTCAGCGGTGTAAATAGGAGGGTGTGGGTACTTTTGTGCCAATAAAAGATGTCCATACATTATTGGCACAACTTTAAGTGAGTTTTCTGGTGAAAAGAGTAGCACTGGATAGAGCTCATCGAGACCTATGTGAAATGAGGGAGATCTGGGTTTGAATCATTCGTTAGGCCAATCATGGTAAGAAATACTCGAATATCAACCTAAAATATCCGACGTGAACGATAGAGCGAAAAGAAAGATGAATGAGTGTTGCCAATGCCAACAATATCCGCACACAGTAGGCTTCTGTTATAATAGTCTCCCCCAAAAAGATACTGACATTGATCTTTCTTGATGTAGCAAATTATTCTACATTATATCATTTTGTGTATGTGTGTTTTATTTCAGATTCCTTATATAACAATATACTTCATAAACTACGAATTGACTATTCTTTCATCGAATGCTCATCAAGATCAAATATCATGTTGATGCTGATAAAGCTCCAGGGCCATACATCATTGGCTGCGCCTTGATTGTTATGCTAATTTCTACTTTCATTGACTGTTTTAATGTTCGAATTCAAAATTGCCGTCAACAAATTCTTTCTCCTTCAACCACGAAAATGTTACTGAACAGTAGCTTCTTGCTATGCAACATCCCATATGAAGAATGTCAGTGCTCTACTGTATCAAACAAATTTAGTTATTCAATAAAATGCATCACTAGTATTGAGGCGACGATCGCTCATATATCGCCACTAGTGTCATATGTGTTGCAGCTTTATCTCATTTACGAACTTTTTTCAGTCACAGAGAACTATTATGATACTCTTACATATATATTTTGGATCATCGCCTTGTTTTTGTTCATCATTATTGCAATTGGCGTATACGGAAGTACTTGCCTGCATTTTAACACAAGTAATACAATTTTCTCATCGGGCTGCTTTATATTCATTATTGTTGCTTGTCTATTCCTCTACAGCGAAATAAATTATTCTTCACATGAAAATCCTAAAGCTTATCGAAACCGAAGATTTGTGAAGAATAATCGTAATCGCTTAATTTTAACCGCAGTAGTTGTCTCCTGATTATTACATTATTCAGATGTTTCTCTGTCTTTTTCTGTGCATTGTGTGGTCTTCGTTGTTTTTTCACTATTTGTATAGTGTTGAAATAGAATTTTTCACTTTAATATGTATTGACAAGAATATTGAACAAAATGTCATAAGGAGAGTTTTCTGTTTCTCATATTCATTTAACGACCTATGATGTACATGTACTCAACTCGTGGTGTAGAAAATATTTTCACTTATATAAAACTATGCATATGTTGCCTGAGTATGATTGAATAATCATCTGGCTAGAAATAAAACCTTTGGTAAAACTATAATTAACCTTCCTATTGAAAGCTTTTCGTCGTGGTTTTAGTTGAGCTAACTTTTCCAGTTCTTCACATAGAACTCAATCTCAAAGACCATTTTTGGTGATTTCGTAACGGACCTATATTTTAATCATAAAATTATCACCAAACTTTTGAATCCTATGAAAGTTTCAGAGTATGTAGAACCATGAGAATCGAATATATTCTGAAAATCTCATCTTCATTCAATTTCATTAAGTTGAGATATTCAAAACACAAAATGAAAAGACATGATTCCGTTACGCTCAGGCAAATCGCAATATAAAGTGCAGCAAATACATCATATATTCTTTATTTCAAGATTTGTCCATTCATTCAGACAACAATAAAAATGGATTTAAACGAGCAAGGTAAACATATTTAAACAAAGAGAAGAATACGACAAAAAAATAACTGAGTTTTTCTTTTTTTGTTACAGGTATTCTTCTTCCTGTTCCATTACGAGTTTTTGATTGTTCGGCTAATGAAATCATTTCATTTAAATTAAGTTCGTTTGTAGATTTTTTGAACTTCTATTTTTGTGTGAATGTATTTTTTTTCAGTTCGATCAGAAAAGGACTTAAATGAAAAAAATGAATTTGGACCAGAATTTACGCATCAAATATTTGGAGAAAAGTAACATTTTTTATCATGATTTCTTCATTAGAAAATCATAGAGATTTCATTCAATAGATAATAAATTTTCTAGTAAAAACAAAATGAAAATATTTTATGTGACGATATTTTCTATGGAATTTTTTATTATCTTATGACACCATGTTTACAATAAAAATAAAGAAAGATAGCATTTCAAACGTAAAATTCAATAACCAATTAGAAGTGATATTGCTTAGAATTAATTAAAATAATACTATTGTCTCAATTCTATCATAATTTATTGCTTGAAATAATAATTTAATTAATCATGTTTATAAAAGATCTGATTGTTTATTTTAATTTTAGTGAAAGAATATTTGGTTATAAAAATTTAAAGGTTGATATTTACTGTTTATCATCATCATTAAATTTTTATTTAAACATTGATTATGATGAAAAAATAAATCCAAAGAAATATAATCAATTCAAGGTAATTAAAATATGAACGAAAAAGAAAGATTCTATTTATATTCGGTAATAAATGAAATTTTTTCTTAAAGGCTGATGATTTAGTTGAATCATTGAATCAATGGATACCTTTATCAACAACAACGAATTTAGATTTATTTTTATCGAAATTAAAAAATGAAAATGAATATTTACCATTCGGTGAACAAATTTTAACATACGAATTAAAAGGAGAAAAAAAATCTTTATCTTATTCAATAAATCGTGTTAATCAAAATTTTTGTGATAATAAAAAATTTGTTGAATGGTATTCTCGTCTTGAAATATTTCTTGTATTTTTTATTGATGCTGCATCAACCATTGATAAAGATGATCCAAATTGGGTCATTTATCTTCTTTATCAACAATATCAAAATGATAATGGTCAAATTTGTTATGCACCTATTGGATTTATTACTGTTTACCTTTATTATGCTTATCCAGAAAAAAGAAGACCAAGAGTTAGGTAAGGAAAATTTTCTTTTTCTTGTTTTGGAAAAACTGCCTTTTTTTTATTAGTCAAGTATTAATTTTACCACCATATCAACGAAAAGGACACGGACGACGTCTGTTAACAGCAATTTATAATGATTTACGAAAAGATTCACGTGTTCAAGATATAACAGGTATTCAGAGAAGTTTCTTTTTAATATTTCAGATGAGAGAAGGCCTCTTCGAACGGTCAGACTGAATTTATTGTCAGTTACCGTATTTTTCATCAATTATACATTATCCTATCTTAATTGGTTATCTCACTTGAGATTATTCTCATAGTGTATATATAGAAAAATCATAAAATGCTTTCAGAAAATAATAAAAATTAAATCTAAATATATTTGATAAAACATATTTTTATGAATCAACTTAATGTTCTATCTATTTAGCTGAAGATCCATCAGATGAATTTGTTGCATTACGTGATCTTGTTTCATTGGAATTATGTCACAAGTATTTACCTGATTTATTTTCAAAAGAATCGATTCTAAAAACAAATCGGTTAACCAAAGAAATGATTGAAAAAGCACGTGATATTTGTAAATTAACTAAAGTAATTTGTATTTTTATTTGCATTGCTCTATTTATTTAATTGAATTTATTTTAGCAAGAAATACGACGTGTTTATGAAATATGTTTTCTACAATCAATTAATATAAATGATGAAGAACAAATGAAAATTTTTCGTTTACTCGTTAAGCAACGTCTTTATGAACCATTACAAGTAAAACTTTCGTTTCATTCCTTTCCATTCAAAGACTATTATTTTAATTAGTTTGATAAGCGTCGTCGTCTTCAATTAGCAGATCCAACACTTGAAGCATTGGCAACAGATCCTGAAAAACGAAAAAAATATTTATCTACTCAATATGAATATGTTCTTGAACATTACGAAAATATTCTTCGAGCATTTGATAAATATAAAGATTAAATATATTCAATATTTCATCATGTAGAACATTGCACGAATACGTTTATTTTTCTTATCTCATATTATCATGTAATGAATGTTAAAAATAAAAATGTAAAAGATTTGACAAAATGTCAATCTCTAAAGAAATAATTATCTCATAATTGCATCAGAACTAATTTATTTATTTTAATAAAAAATTCTTTATAAATCAAAAACAATTTCTATATGAGACGATAAAAAATTCTTGTTTTTTCATAAAAGAAAAAAACTCTATCTTCAGTCTAACGTAGATGCTCAACAGACTTCACTAACAGTGTTTCAAAATTCCTTTGCTTTTTCTAATTCCATGATTGACTAAAATTTTGTTTTTATTTATTATTCTACACGAATAATCATACTTTTCTTTATTTATATTCCACTGGCTTTGCCAATTCATTTGGGCAAAATCAATTTAAAGTCATTCGAATTGTGGTTTTCGAATATATATATATATATATATATATATAATGCTGCCAAGGGGTTCCAGTATGAACCATTTTAATTTTATTTAAATGTCAAGTTCTTGAATAAATTATTTGTTAAGTGCATCGTTTTTTTGCGAATACTGTTTCCATCAATGATAGAATAAAGTTACTTAAGGCTTATTTCAGCATTTTAAGACTTGACTTACGCAACTGTTCTAAAGGCATCTATCTCATATTCGCCCTGTATACTTTTGCATAGATAGTAAACATAGCTTAACTTTGAAAATAATTTTTATAGATTGGCTCAAACATAACTTTTATCAACTGTGTTCATATTATATATCGAAGAACAAGAGTGGAACCAGACTTTTATTTATTCTATATTGAAGAAAATAAACAGAGAATTTTTAAACCCATCTCTGTTGGAACACATTCATATAATAAAAGTAAAATAATGATATAACTTGTAGAGTCCATCGATTTTCCCTTACATGTTGTTCGTATCTACTGTTACCATAGAGATTGTTGAATTATTCCTCATTGAAACTCAAGTATTTTTGAAAAGCTAGTGAGCATGGAGTTGTAATGGTCTATTCGTTTTCCTTCACATTTTATTCATTTTGTTTTATCATGATAGAAAATTGTTTTTGTGTTACACGTGGAAGATTTTCATGAGTAGGATTTATTCAGTTAAAAAATCCTTTCGTTCTATATATCTTCCTTAGGACAAAGCTCAAGAAATATCTTTTTTCTTCGGAGATGTTGTACATCCCACCTTGTTGAACAAAAAAACAGCGAAAGAAATTCTTTAAACTATAAAATAATAATAATAAAGAAGTTGGTTATATTTGAGAAAAAGTTCCTGAGAAAGAAAGAATCAAACGAAGAACGATTAAAACATTCAATTATCTAATCCATATTTTCGACCATTATAAAAGTATTCTACTGATAAACCAGTCAATATACCAGTAATCATCATTCCTTCTAATTCTACGATTAACCCAGGTAGTTGTGGTTTGAGACATAACATAACCGCTAAAATGATTAAAGTAACAATAAGGGGTGAATATGGAAGCCCGAAAGCGTAAACACCTATTATTGTTGTTAATACACTAATTGCTACATAATATACGGAATTATTGATTGTTGGTGATTTTTTATATTCCTCCAGTGGTTTTAACTGGCATAGTTGTACTATCAAAGTAATGAGTGAAATAATCAACACTAATGTCATTACTTTCCTTCGATCACTGGTCCAAGTCACGCTAAACGTAAAAATATTTTCTTTAAGATATCAAATAATGGCTGGTGCAAAAGGTTTTTATTAGCCTTTTTACATTCTGATGGCGCATAAAAACAACCGTAAATATTTTAATTTGGTTTTTTTAGAAAAAAATATAGTCTATATAATGTACATAATACTCGTATATTTATTCATCCTGAATATACTTTGCTAATGAACGAGAAACATTAGGATTATTTTTTGCAGCATTCTAATGAATGTTTCGAAGAAACGAACTTCACAGTATTTTGCATATATTTTTTATTAGGTTCACTTACTATAAATTTTTCTTTTTGTGTTTTATTTTATATATGTTATATTTTTTCATTGTTATATGAAAACAATAGAGAAAATGTGTAGTTTTCGCAGAATAATCATTTGAAATATTTACTTATATTAAATGTTCCTCATATTCTTCTCCTTTTGTCAGTGTTGATAGATGCCGTTCGACAAAGATTTATTTCGTCCTATGACGAATATTCGAATCAGCTGATTTTATATATTAAGTAAATTATGGACATATGTGCAATTTTAAATCATATCACAGTCGATGAGTAATTAAAACACTTCTAGCAAAGATCAAATCTCAACTAGTAATTATTTGAATCGTATAGCATAAGAACTTGTTTATTACACTAGTAAAAAACTAGCTTTTCAAAAACATCAAGTTTTCACGACGACGTCAAATATTTATCATGTAAATTACAATGTTTATTTACAAACAAAATTAGATATACTAATAATAGCTCAAATTTTCAGCGAAGTCAATGAAACGATTCTATCTCATTAAGACAGCGTAGAAATATTGAAAACAAAACTATAGCTGGTCAATTGGTTTAGTCACTGAGATTCTTATCAGTATAGATATGTGAAGTAAATTAAAACATGTGAGCTAAGATATATATGCTGAAAATCACACTGCACTACGTTAACGCATTGTTGTCATATTGAGAATACAGCCTTATTCAACTGAATTTTCAATCAAACATAGCTGTATTTTTTATCCATATTTCTATTGATGCTAAATTTAGATGTGCAATTACCGATATTGATTGATATCCATCAGTACTAAAGCTAAATAGAAAGACATTGATCAGGATTGTCTAATCTAAATTTTAAAGGCAGAATAGTTTTGAAAAATCTGGTGTGAAAAAATGACTATTCCAAAATCAACAGAAAATTAGAAGTCTCTCTCAAGGAGGAAACTGAACTTCTGGAATTAAAGTTACTTCGAGCAACTTCAAGTATTTGTTTTGAAGTACTTTTTCGCTTCATGTGCGCTATTTTCCCTTTGAGTTTTTACTTGAATGAAACTCTAAAACTTAGAAGTCTCTTGGGAACATCATGAGGTTTCTCAATCCTGGTTCTTTCTATAACACATCACATTCGACGAATATGTGCCATTTTTTATCACAATAAAAAAAGATATCATTCTGACATGCATAACATTTCATCAAAATTATTACATAGTAACGAGTGCCCCAGAAATAATAACTCTCTCAGTATTTTGATTATATACCTGTCAAGTTTTCGTCATTCGAGCTGAAATTTTTACAGAACAATCCCTTGTTCAATTCTGTACAAAAATGTATAGAACGTCTTACTACATAAGATTGCTCCTACAAATATTCTGGGTTAAAGATTATAAGAACTCAAAATGACGAATTTTGTAACCCCCGTTTTTCAAAAACTAATTGCTTTTTATAACCGATCGGACATGCACCTAACTGTCCTAGTCTTTGGTTTTCAATATCGTCAAGTATGTTCATATTATCGTAATCCTTTGTTAAGATTGCCCGAATAGACTGTTGATGTTATTTCAGATATAACGATGTGAAATCAGGAAGGCTTGTGCTCTCACGTTACATTTTACACAAAGAACGGAATGTATAGCGTTTCATTGTGTAGTTCTTATAGATTAATCTTTGCCTGGAAAACAGCAGAAATGTGTACAGAAGAAATGAAGCTTCCCCGCACAAAAGCTCAAGCATTGATACAGTTGTCAGCAGTTGTTTAGAAAGAGCTTTATAAATGCTTCAAAATGACTTACTACATTTCGCACACTTCCAAAGCAATATGAGTAAAATGGACAAAGTAATGTTGGAAAATTCGTTGTTCTGGTATCTTAGTCTTTAACCCAGAATTTGTAGGAACTATATAATATATTAAAACGCTTTATACATTTTTGCAGAGAATTGAACAAGGAATCGTTCTGTAAAAATTTCAGCTTGAATGATAAAAAATTGACAGAGATACAATCAAAATACTGAGAGACTTATCATTTCTAGGACACCCGTTATAATTGTTCAATAAGAAGTTTGGACACAAATATATGCATTCTGTAGTATGTTTTTCATTGAATTTTATGAGAAAATTTTACATCTGAAAACATTTTTTTATAAAAATCTGGCATTCAAAATTGAAGTGAGTTAACTTTTTAATACCATAGATTTGAAATAAACTTTGAAGAGAAAACAAGATTAATCAAAGTAAAACAGGCTGTTTTGTATTATTTATTCAAGTCGATCAAATTACAATAATCTGTAGTAAAATACCATTCAATAACTGAGATATTCCTTTGTAGTCAATTTAACAGAAATCGATATCTGTATTTTAAATGGAAGATCATCTATATGTAATATTATAGAATTTGAAGATTGTATTTTTAATTTTCTTTTTGTGTTTGACTACTTCTCTTGATTAAAATAATAATACTACTAAGAGATATAACTAAGTAAATAGTCATCAATTTCTAATAAATTTCTAATATAAAACGGAGACAATTTGACATTGTTTCTCTAGGCAAGAATAATAAACATTATTAAAGAATTCTATTTATCGAATACCTATTGAACTATTCATATAATTATCTACAAATTGTTCGTTGCTTTGTTTTTCAATAATACTATGAATTAAAACAAAAAAGGCTTATTCTATTAGCTAATATCATTAGATTTTATTACGCGACTATTACATAAACTAGATTAAATGTGTAAGGGAAAGGGATAAGAAGTACAATGTTTATCTATCCGTGTGGCTATTGTTTTTGTTGTTTTCAATTGAAAATATCAATAATTTTTTTGCATTGTCCACCATCTGTCTTCCAAACAACGACATAATTTCCACCGTCAGTATTTATTTTGTATTGGCTAAAAACAAGAATTGAATAAAAAGTTAAAAGTTATTGCAAAGACAAACCTAATTTCAATAAAATAATCCGAACCACATTGAATAACTTGTCCAGTATGTAGTTCAACTTTCGAATTACCAGCAGCTCTTGCACCTGCGTAATATTTTTCAATTTGACTTAAACCTTCATAAACTTGTTTATCAGTAGCAAAAAGTCGACCATCACTGGCATAAGTGGTAACAGCTTCTTTCACTTGACCATTATTATAGCAACGTTCAAATTCTCGATTGAGTTTATCAATACTATCGAATGACATTATGATTTTTTTTGACTATCGCTGATTTCTCTACAAATGTTAAAGTAGTAAATGACTATATGTCGATGATGTTTTCCCCTTTTTATACCAAATATCATGCTCATAATTTTCTTTTTCTTTGTCTCTCTTTTGTCAAGAAAAGCTGTAGAATATTGTTATATGTTCCGACTGAAAAAATCTGACATTCATTCATTTTAAAGTCAAATGATGAGAGAAACCCTATTGGTTATGTATGAGAAAATGAGTTTTCCTCTTGGTCGGATGTCAATCACTACTGAGCAAAGAAAAAACGTATGCCTTCAATCAACATCCGTTCTTCTGTTTCAATACAGGAAAAAGATTTTTTTCTTTTGTCTTTGACAGTCTAATCTAATATTCAAAGATCAATCAGAGATTAGTTTTCATTCATGTTGAAGCAGTACGATACTATTTTCAATACTTTCTCATTTTAATGGAGAACATATATCTCGATGATTAACATTGCTTAGAAGAAGAAGAAGAAGAAAAAGAAAGAAATCTTTAATTATTCTCCAGGGAAATATTTGCTTCTTGGCCATGAGAGTTACTATTGACAGATGTTAATGTTAAATAATGATCCATCTGACAATAATAAAAACCATTTAACGATATATTTTTTATGTGATTTAAATATTTTTCTCTTTTTTATTGCTTTTTTTTGTACTTATGATGTGGTCTAAATGTTCTTAATTTCGAAATGCATATTGTCAATCAGTGTGTCAAATGATTAGAGTTGGACGATGGTTCTGATTAGCTTTTCATCGTACTAAGTAAACTTGAATAAAATCAAGGTTAATGATTAAGCAAAAGAAAACTTAGGCTTTTAACAGAATCTACATAAGAAAAAAGTAAAGAACACTTTATGCCATTATTGTATTGACACAAATTAGATGTATTTCTCTAGAAAAACTATTTATTCCATCAATAAAGAATATAACTTTAGTCAAGAGAAAACAAGTATTCAAAAAAAAAGGAAATAAGATGGTACTTGAAATATACGTTTCTAATATAAATTCTTCTTACATGCTAAATAAACAATTTCGTTTTTCCTGTTTTAACAGCTATATTAGAAATTTCTAAAGTATCACTACGTGATCATAGTGAAATAAAGTTAATTATTATAATTATTAAAATAACTTTCGCTTTTCGATTATAAGATTCAATTCTAAGACGATAGGCTCATTGGTCTTAGATACTCAATTTGATCTTGAAAATAATCGCATGAAATCTTCCTCTCCAAAATCATGATAATCTTGAATTTTGATATGACTTTAACTGCATGTAAGTTAGATTAGTTTTTATCATCATTCAGGATCAGGATGATGTTAATGTAGATTCTCGCATGGATATTATGGTACTAGCTTCTTCGAGATCGTCATTTGATCAAAAATTACAACTGATTATTGTAGTAACATTGTGTGGAAACGAATATTATGATTCCAATGAGAACATTTTGGTACTAACTAATTTAATCAAACGAAAAATAGATATAAAGAACAAAAGTATGAGTTTATCAGGAGGTGGCTTCAACGAAAGTAAATACATAGAAATGAGGCTAAAAATTCTGTAATAATTGGTACCATTCTAAACAAAGATTTGCCCTTAATATAAAAACATATGAATTGTCAAGGTCATAATGAGAGGGACAGAGAGATGAGCAACGAAGAAACTTATTTCATTCAGCTTAAAGCAACATAAAATATGATTTGATTTATCAACTCATCTTTTAGTTTTTGACTTGGCAGCTTTGAGTAGTATTGAGAAAAAAAACATTCGATTCGTTTGTGACCAATTTATTTATACAATACAATAATGAAATAATTAATTGATTATTGAAATGATTCAAATGACTATTTTGTTTATTTCAAGATTATCAGAAGTCAATGATAAATTGATGGTACTCACGTATTTTGACAAGAAAATAAAAATTTGATGAATATTGCTGTAGTAAAAGAAGACAATGGGCCAGATTTGCATTTTCAACTCGCCTATTTCAGATTCAGCAACCATATTGATATGATGTTTAATTTGAACAATTCAACGTAATGTTTCATATCTTCGTTTTTAACATTATTGCTTTTTTCTCTGGTGAAAACTGAAACTTAATCATTACTTTTCAGAAATAGTGTGAGGATAAACATGGTTCCACGCCCTACGATTGTCATAACACTGATTATCTTCTGTGCCAAGAATAGATGTTGTGAATTCGAAATAAAACTAATATCGAAGTACTGTATTAATAGAAGAGTTTTTTAGAACAACAAAATGTTGTGTAGTCTTACAGGTCATTCTGAAGGATTATTTTATATCGACAGAGAACATTTATTTCTGTTAAAAGAGATTTCGATATGTTAATTGCTGTGTTGAATAACTAATAATTTGACGAAATGAAGAAACTTGGAATCGTAAGATATCGATCAAAAAAATATTTATTTGTTTAAGATAAATTTGAGAAACAATACAATTTTCATATATTATATATATATATATATATATATCTGTTTTTTCCAACATCCGAATTATTTAGTCATAATTAAAATACAATAAAATATAGAAAATAAATTTTTTCATTGATATTTCTTTCTAAATGATTTCATATTCAATCGATATTTATTTTAGACGAATCTCAGGTGTTCTTAGCAGAATCAATCGAGAACCATACAAATAACTATGTGTATTATTCTACATTTTCTTTTTGAATTAAAATCGTTTTTTTCAAATTTGATTCTTTTTTTTTGCATCGTAAGATATTCGTTTTTCGAACTTGTTCATCTAAATCATTTTATTCGATATTCAGACCGGCTCTTCGTCATCATCATCACCATACATGTATGAGTCTATTTCTTTAAATTTAAATGCGATAAAAACAAAATATTATAAGTTTTCTTTTTAGGTTAAAAAATAATATATTAATCTTCAAACAAGAAATGAAGAAATAACAAACTACGCTTGATCGCTTCACAATATACGGCGCATACTGATATTTATATAAAATCGACATATATTGTCGATTTGTTTATTTGAGTATATTTCAATCCACATCATTGGACCGTAAAAACGTGGTAAATTAAACCAACGATGCATAGCTCAAGCTACTCATTCTCTTTCCTGCGTATGAAGCGTGAAAAGAAAGTTAAACTTTTTCTACTGTTGATATTGCTTACAACTACCAGTCTTATATTGCTCAGCATTTTCATCAGTCCTAATCTGCCACCAGTATTAAGTTCTACTACTACTCGTCAAGTAACACAAAAATGTTATGTCGAGAAACATAAGCCCACATCTGTATATTACCGTTTATCCGAGGACGAACTTTATCATTATGAGTTTCGTTATGAGTTAAAGACGCCTAGCAAAAGTGATGGCTACCGCCTTATGATTATACTCTATGGTACCAAATGTGGATGTAGTGATAGAATTATTCAAATACAAACGGTCCTGTTTCTTACGAGACTTGCATTAAATGTCTATTTTGTCAACGATAATATTTGAACAAGTGTCATATGTGGGATTTTTCGGTTGGTGATCGCATACTATCTGCTGTTCGTCGTTCTGATTATTCAATATTAGCTATATGTTCGAAACGCAAAACTTATGACATCCATATGCCGATTAGTAATAACAGCGACGTAAAGTATATATACTTATCACTACAAATATGGATGAATACAATTTACTATCCACAGTTTCAATGTTATCCACATTTATATATACATGCTACTAGTCGTGGTTCTCATTTTGCAGGCTTGTTAAGTAGAATTTTACCTATTCAAGCACAAATTCTCTATAGTTATCCTGGACATCGAGAATCAATGTTTATTCCTTCAATGTATGATGTTGATATGCAAACACGACTTTCACTTGATCCAACATTTTCAAATTGGTTCTATTTCGATTTTTGCTACAATAAATCAATTAAGCATATAAATGATCAGCGTTTATGTCCATTTCAAAGTGACAATCATTATTATTCTCCAGTTCCACCTACTTTTTTTACTGTTTTGGAAAAGGATCCATATCAGCGTGTAAAATCATATACTAAATTTATTATGCGCATTCAAAGTAATTCTTTTGATCTTGGAGGAAAACTATTAGTTCATAAGGAAGCAATGCAACTTGATATATTATCTCCTGTTAAACTAAGTGCTAGTTATATGCAAGAAAATTTTCATATTTGGTGTTCAAAACCTCATGCGTCTCAATTTTTCTTTGAACACTATACAAATTCAGTACTATTTAATACTAATGATTCAAAACGACAAACATGCTGGTGTTCAAAAATAGATTTTTCATATTTTGAAATAATGCCTAATGTAACAAAGTTATGGTCAATAAAAAAACAAAATGAATATAGTGAATATGCAAGTGACATTAGAATATTTCAAGATGAATTTTGCGAAGAAGTTTGCGGGGATTTAATGACAACACATTCAATGGTCTCTCGAAATATTTATAAAATGCTCATTTGGATTAATAAAATGAATTCTGTTCGGCGCTCACTCTATATTGATGATTATCTAAAACGACCTTTAAGAATATGGATGTATGACAAACATTCACTAATCAACAATTCAACATATTTCTCATCTCTAAAAGTAAATTGGAAAAATATAGCAAATGAACATCAAATGTATTCACCTGAATATTATCTTCAAGACTATTTTCAGCGTTTAAATCAATCGAGAAAAATTTCTCGCCACCATCATTTCCAATGGGCTAATAATCCTCTTCTTGCTGATTATTTCATTATTCCTAGTGATTTTATGTTTTTCTATTTCCATCATCAACCATCGACTTTAAATGATCAACAATTTAATAATTTATACGTAGATTTAAATGAAAATTACATGAGCATATTATTAGCAAACGTTTGCACAAAGTTTTCCTACTGGACACTAGCTCCGAACAAAGATCAAATAGGTGCTAATCATATTCTTATCATTCCAAGTGGTAGAAACATGGGAATTTTATATAATGAAACTCAAATGCTACTAAAAAATGTTATCCAATTAGCGTTCACTGGTATACGAGCCGATTTATTACCATCAGGTACACCGCCTCAGTATGTATACAGAAATATATATATTACTTATCGACATCAGTATGATGTTATTATACCTCAATCTACATTATTACAATGGAGAAGAAACAAGTCTGATGATTTAGATACTTTGATAAAGAAAAAGAACCAAATATTTTACTTTGCTGGAGCTCTTGATCATATAGCTTCGTATCAATCAGCACGTTCGTTATTATCATCGATAAAACAAGATATTGATCAAAAACAAAACTATAAAACATCGATTCAAATTCAAGGAAAACAATATAATATTATTAAAATAATTAGTGGTCATATAAAATCTTATGAATATATTCAATCAGTTCAATCCAGTGTTTTTATTTTGTGCCCTGAAGGTTTTCTTCCATGGTCACCTCGCATGTACGAATCCATCCAATTAGGCTCAATTCCAATGTTATTAGCTGACAATATTGTACTTCCATTCGAAAGATTCATAGATTGGCGGTCATTTACCGTTAAACTCAATGTTAGTAATATAAAAAACATAACTAGTTTTGTTGATCGCATAGAAAAATTAGAACAATATATAGAACGAAAATTGGCTAGCGCTCTACCATATTTATATGCATTTCGATGGCCATATGTGATTGTTGGCAATAATGAAACTAGACAACATGTCTTCGACCCACAAGAAGATTTGAATGAAACAATTAGCAATGTTTTTTATTATATATCATTAGAATTACGATGTCGTCGATTGGAACAATTCTATGGATTTACAGTAGAAAGTTCAACATCAAAATCAATGAAAGCTCAACAACTTGCATGCACAAAACATCCAACTGTATGTCCATGTCATGATGAAAAACGATCTGTAGCATTTCAAGAATATATTTAACGAAATTTCTAGTGAAAATTCATAATATATTATCCTTGTAATGAACTTAAGAATCTTTTAGATTTCGTGAGATATTTTCATGTCGAGAAAAGAAAATAATTACAATTCGCATCCGTACAAAATCTCATCTGACAGTGAATAAAAATGTTGAGCTACCTTTGAGTAAAGCATTTTAACGTATGCTTGTTTTTTTTAAATATTCTTTTACATGAATATTAGTATGAAATGATCTATTGATTTCATTATTCCTGTTACCTTACGGATTTCTTTCGAATTTGGGTGTGGGTGTGTATTCTCTTCTAGACATCCACACCCACGCCCTCATTATTCGATCATCACACTTTTTAATGATTGAAATTAAGCAATTTTTTTGCTTGAAAATATTAATTTTATATATTACAATTTGTATGATACTAAATTATCATTGAGTCAGATATTGGTTTGTTTATATAAGATTCATTAGTGTAGTTGTTAAGTTTTGAAAATCAAATGTTGATTATATCACAGTTACTTGAATAGAACATTTATTTGACGTTTAGAGATTTACACTAACTGACAGAAAAATGTTTTTTTTTTCAAAACTAAAACAATGTGATAAAAAAACTTCGTGTTCGCAATCTAGCAGACTTAGATTAAGAAATGTGAGTAGTCTTATTTGTTCTTATAAGTATCATATATATTCTGCGGCATCTTATATTTACATTTGCCTTTGATCGTTCTTTGTATGTCTTATCATGATTTCATTTTTTTAATTGGTCAAAATCGAATTCATATAATCAAAAATATTATGTTAACAGAAATTATTGAATTTTGTTTCAGATAGATACCATGAGAGTATTCGACAATGTCGAAAGATTATTTTTAGTCTGATGTACAAATTCTGTAAGTTAAAATAAAGGCTGTTAAAATAGATGACAATGACTAGTCGCATACAATTATGAGTTAGACAATCAACATTTTATTAAATTGTGAATGAAAAAAATCGATTCAGAATAATTAATTAGAAAGATTTCGAGTCTAGAAATATGTTTTAGAAATATTTAAACATTAGTAACTGTTGTTCGTTGAGTGAAAACAAATGAAATTCTATCAAAAATATCATCTAATTCTGATAAAGTTGTTAAATCTAAAAATTGACATCTTTCACCACCAGCTCGTTTTATTTGATTCATAGCTTGTCTTCCTTGCAGTTCAAGTCCAATGCCAATTAATAACATATCAGTTTCAAAATCATCACAAATCTGTTTGACTCTTTGACAAGCTTGATTTAAATTACATTTCGTTGAACTACAATCTTCTCCATCAGTAATTAAAATAATTTGATTTCGATTTGAATCACCAGTTAGAATTCCAGCAAATTTATTTCTTAATAAAAATTGAAATGTTGAATCAATAGCATCATACAATGCTGTACCAGCATTAGCATCATCTATACTTGGTTTTAAAGCAGATAATACTAAGGCTAATTTTAATTTAGCAACATTAGCAGATTCGCTATCCATAACTTCATAAACTTTGGCATTAAATGCTAAACATGTTAAACGATCTTTTAAACCTAATTGATTAGCAATTTTAATTATTCCACGTTCTGTTGCAGGCCATCGATTTTTCGAAGGATTTATTCGATTGTTTGCCTCATAACCAATCATTGATAATGATACATCAACAACTAAAACAATATTATAACTATGAATAGCAACGGAAAGATCAATCTGTCGAGGTACTGAATTAGATATTCTTTGTGAAGATTGTTGAGGTTGTTTAATTGGTATTAATGGATGTGTATCTCTATGTCCTTTTTGATTTGGATTAGAATTGACACATTTAGAACATAAATCATAATCGTCACATACTGTACATTTATATCGAACACCAATTATTGGACAACAACGACATACATCACATAAAACATCATGACTTGAAACTTGATCAACCTGTCTAGTTGTTGATACCATTTTACCACCACATTGTCGAAGAACATCATTATATTCCTTTTGATTTGGTTCTAATTGACAACATTTTTGATAACATTCTATTGCTTCTTGTTTACGATTTAACAATTCCAATGCTTTTCCTTTATAAAAATATCCTTTTGTCCATGTTGGATCAACTTGAATACTTGCCGAAGCATCTTTTAAAACTTTATCAGCATCATTTAAACGATAATAACATAAAGCACGATTTGTTAAATAAGGAGCATATCTTGGTACTTGCTCCAATGCATAACTAAACAGTTCTACAGCTAAATTATAATTGCCTTCATTAAATGCTGCTTTTGCTTGCCATTTTAATTTCTCTGAGCTAGCTGTTGGTTTTGATATTATACCGCTCATTATATTTAACAACAAAAAAAAATAAATCCACAAAATATCTATACGAGGAGGCAAATATTGAGTAATTTATGTATATATTAACAAAAGTTAAAATTACTTTTTCCAAGTTGCTCTTCCTTCCTTTGTTTCATCTCGAAGCTATTATAGATGCATCTATGAGTAATCATAAAATTTTCTTTTACATCCTTCCTACCATGCGTCATCTGTTTGTTTTTATGTTTTTTTTCTTGGTATGTCAATGTCTTTAAAATATACTTATTCGAAGAATATCTTCTAAAAAAAATTTATATTTCGAGATGGATAGCATCTTTTTTAGTTCATTTGTTTGTTGTTATTGTTTCATCATTTTCAGGTTAGGCATCAATTCATTTGTCATAATTGTCAATTAAAATATCATAATCACTATTAACTACCGAATGAAAGAAAATGGGTTTACTGTCATATTGGAAACTTTTTACAACCATTTTATAATCTATGAATTAGATTTTAAAAAAATTCATATTTACATGCATAAATTGAAACTTTTTAGTACAATTACATTTTAATCGTATTTTGCTAATGATTGTTTTTTCGATTCACCGATTAGAACATTTTTCTTTTATGTTACTACTTTCAGATGTCTACATGCAAACAAAATTTCAGTTTTCTAGCTCATAGCATTGCTGCGTTATAAGACTCATATCGCGAAAAAATCGTATATTCTAGGAATGTCTGTTGAGAAAAAGAAATTTTCTAAATGTCAAAGGAAACAGAAAAAATATCATATACAGTCGATTTGTTTTCGTCTAGAACGACCTTAGTCATCTGTGATTTCAAGTAAAAGTGTTCCAAAATGAGTATTTGTTTTTTTGTAGGATTTAACTTGTTTGTTTGTTTGTGGAGAGTCAGTCTATTCACATTATCAGAATCATAAATCGGTTTCAATATAGTTTTTGTGTATCGGAAATTGAAATCAGTGTTTCGGTTTTCAAAAATATCACAAGTTTATACATTTTTAAGCTGAACTATTAAATGTTTTGCATACTAATATTTATGAATACAAGGACGCTGATAAGACTTAAGATCAGTTGTTCAGAAGATAACCGGTTTTTAGGATGAGAACCTACTGTAATATATCGCTTCATTACATATGAACATAGATTAAGTGTAATTGTTTTATTTATTTCTAACTGCTATTTAAATATTTAAATTATTTTATCATTTCACGATAATCTTTCAATGTTTTATAAGTAATACGATTTGAATTATGAAATGAATTAGCACCACGATAAGATGTACGAATTGCATAAATAATATGAGGACCACCATCACAATTCCATTCAATACAACTTGCTTTACTATTAAATGATGATGATGATGATGAGAATTCGTCAAATTGCCAATCGACATAATGAAAACCAGTATAAAGAAGACTATCATTTATTGTAAAACCCGTATCATCATATAAGAGTCGATCAGCAACGATAGTCCAATTGCTCAAGTGAATTTTATCTTTTGTATACGACAAACTTAATATATTCCGTTGAGTTGGTTCAAAATTTTGTGTGACAGGATTTACTAATGAAAAATAAGCTTCAGTCACTGGATCGTATCGTATTGTAAATTTAGTCATACCACCAGGAAAATTTGTGATTGAAACAAAACAAAGTGTATTTGTTGTTTTATTTAATTCTAAAATAATTGCTAAGTTTGATAATGGTATGGAATTAAATCTCATGATATTTAATACACGTGTTTCATTGGATGATGATTTAGGTACTATAACAATATTTCCTTCTAAATATCCCGGTGCAGTTAAATTTGGAAATGATTTTGGTAACCATTCTTTATTGAAAACAAGGGGTGTCGTCAATCGCCAATTGTTAGGTGACATTATAGGATCATCTGCTGTCGACGATTCAATTGGTTTCGATAGATTACAACTGATGATTGCTGCTTGAAAATCTTTAGGCCATTGAAAAGGCGCTGGCCACTGTTCAACAGCACGATACATAACTTGTTCAGCAATAACGATGGGCGTTGGACCTGTTGCAAATGACCCATGAAATAAAATAACACCATCGTCGTTTCCATTATAAATCCACGATGAACCATTATCATTACTTCGATGAATTATTACATTCGCATTTGAATCACTATTGGTACCTATTGCATATATTAAACCATTGTAAACAGCTAATGTTGTCCAATAACTATGTTTAATATAAGAAATAAACGACCATGTTTCACCATTATCATCACTGGTATAAATCGAAACATTTCTTGGTTGAGATATATAACCAGCACCGAAAAAATCATGACTAGCAACTAGACGACCTGATGATAGACGAATAATCGATGGTGATCCCAGATAAATTCTTGATGGTTCATCATGATAAACGATCTCATTTAAATCAAGACTCGAATCAGATATACGCTTAGATTCTATTAAATGAGGACTTGTAAAAAGATATATTATTATACATATTAAGTGAGTACAAGACATTGTTTTCGTAGTATGAAAATTCTAGAAGAAATTCTATAGCAAACGTAATTTTTGTTTTCTTATCAGACCTTATCTTCCTGTTACACAGTATTTCTATGCACGCATTTAACTTCAGTTTTGAGAAGTCCTTTTACTTTATCATCTGTTGACTTTGCTGTTGTTTCATTTCAATGTTCGTCCTATTCAAATATCAAAATAGCATCGGTCAAGACATGATTTGATTAGTCGTTCATTAACTCCTTGTGACTTCTTTTTTGTTGTGTTTGACAGTTATTTAGAACGAAAGAACGTCTATTTATTCCCGAGACGTTAATCATACTATTGTCTTTAAGGTATGTTTATTGAAAACATTCTCGTTGTATCATGTTTAAATATAGACAGAAAAAGAAACATCACTTAACAAAAATGATTAAATATCGTTTATGTCACTTGTACGCATAATTTTTTCGAATTCATCATTTTTCCATTTATCTGTCGAAACAAACCAAATATTCTCGAAAACTTTGGAAATCGGACGATGTGAACCCATTAATTTTGATGTAAGTACTTTCCGAAATACATTTCCGATTTCAATAACATCATTTCCAAACGCACCCGTACCAATAGGTCCCAGTAAGAGATAAGTATTTGATCCATCACCTTTTGTATTAGCAATAGCTGCAGCCATGAATGCTTGAAATTTCGCTAGAGTTTTTGTTTTCCACTAAAATAATCAAAATACATATTGTAGATTGTATAACCAATTAAGATGAACACCTTCAGTGAAAATCCTTTCAAAAATTTACCTCATCTTCTGATGTTGGATTTGCATAAAGTTGCAGTGAACGAGTAAGACAATAGCAGGCAGAAACTAACATATCTGCTTTACGGTCTTTGCCGGTTTTATCATCGAAAAAGCGTATATCACGAACATAAGCAAGACCATATTCTGGTATAGCATATCCACCACTCATGCGTCCGTATTTTAGATCAAGTAATGAGCGATAACCATCAGAATTATAAAGAATTATTTCTTCTTGTGCCCCTGAAAAATTGAAAATGTTTTTTCATGTTATCAAAAGCGACAGTTCACCGCCGATTTTCATTCCATGAGTTATTGCGATATTCAAACCAGAATATAAAATAGTTCAATTCAAAATTCTTTTTCAGAGAATGTTTCTCATTTTATGCGTCTATATACGTATGAAAAGAATAATACTTACAAGCATGCCGGCAATATCCGCCGCCAGCCACTCGTTCATTCTGAAATACTCAGTTTAAATTGAGAATTGTATTCGAGAAATAACTTACAGCAAAATTAAGAACAATTATTTGTGCATTTTCTGGTATGTCAAAAACAGCCTTTTCAATACCTTGATTAATATATGTTATCTTTCCAGCATTGTTTCTTTTCGAAACTGGATATTGGCGTAGAGCTTCTGCAGCATCTGCATCAGATGGATCATGTTCTAGTAATAGGTTTTCATTTTCTACCTCTTCGTTTGTTTTATCTTTTTCTCTATTGTTTTCTTCACTTGATTGGTCTTTGACTTCGTCTCTTACTGGGTCATTTACTTCTTTTTCTATTTCGAATTTTGCTTCATCTTTTGATTCTTCGTTAGTTTTGGACTGTATATTGAGATTTTTAAAATCTTCTTGAGTACGATTTAATTCACATTTTTCTTCAAGTTTTGTTTCATTGTTGACATCAATTTTTTCTTCATTTCTTTTGTGTACTTGTTTAATTTGTGTTTCATCTTTTGGACAAAGATTCTCAAGTTGTTGTAGATTCCAGTAGATTTTTAATTCATTAGGTTCCCAACCATGACTTCGAAAACGGGTCATATATTCGCGAGATTGATTTATATCAGGATGTACCTAAACAAATATTATACTATGAAGAACTCTCTCTAAATAATCGAATAGTCTCAGTCAATCATATAGAATCAATGATTTAATTCTTATTTGAATCTTTAAAATCGTATTCATTTACAGTTAATTCGTAGCAATTCATATCACACAAGAAATCATCAAATAGAGTGACTTTCGATCTACTCAAATCTTGCTCAATAACGATGATTGAAATAAAATACTTTTCATACTGTTGTTGTGGTTGTTTTAATTTTTAAATCATTATTGTGTACTCAAAAACAAAAGTGAGTACACTATAGAATCGGTCAGTGTGTCCGGCCGTTTACACGATAACTCCTGAAAGGCTGATCCGATTTCATGAAATTTTGTACACAGCATTATCTCATCAATATCTCGGTCGAGTTCGAAGATGAGAGGGATCCGTCAAGAAATGGCTGAGTTATCGAAAAAATTGTCATTTTTGATCAGACCATCCTGAGGGGGAGTACAGGGATTTTTGAAAAAACGTTTTTTTCTCAGAATTATCCACAACATATATAAATCGACTCAGTTTTTAACGCTGATTCCGAATCTGATATTAGTTTTGAACTAAATTGTAGCTTTCTAACGAAGTATCGCCTGAAAAGGTCTCAAAATGCACAAAAACTGCATCCAGAAATCAAATTGCCTAGTTTCTCATGATAATTTTTGTGTTCAGACATTCTAGAATGACTCATATGTCTCATGCACTTTTTGCAGTACACATAGCTCTCGGATGAAATCCGAAGTTTCCACATTTTTTTTAAAAAGAAATTATTTATTCTTAATAGTATTGTCGTTAACTCATCGAAGTTTAGTCTAAGATTTATGTTATATCTTTTAGCATATTTCATCAATAAAGATGCAAAAACTTTATCTTAAAATACAGATTCACATGTCATAGCATTGGCTAAATGCCCTGACAGATGTCGAAACAATATGAATCTGATGCGTGAGATATAGATAAAACTCACTCGTTCAATAGTTAACTCAAAATATGGTTCAGCATTTTTGACACCAAAATACTTAGCATTGCCATCATCTGTTTCTTTAGCCATTTTGTCATATGTTTCACGAAGTTCAGTCCAATCAAGTTCCTTGATGATATTACCCGAATGATTTTTATGTACAAGCCATTGTCGAACTTTTGAAGCATATTCTACAATTTGTCTATCAAGTTTCATGGTCGAGTCGTTTTGTTCGATTCGACTCAGTTTATTGTGAATTGCAAGCAAAAAAGCGAGTAAAGTACGTCTACTAAAACTCCATTCTGTCTTATCAGATTGTGGAACAGTTGAAACAGTTGAAACAATAGAATCTACGGTTTCCTCAGTTAGAGAATTTAATGGGACGTAAACAGATAATGGATCAGGCATTGGTCTATACTTGATGTTGGCTTGTGTTGATAGCAATAGATTTGGTTCTGTATCGGATGCCATATGAATCAAATCAGCAGAATTTTGTGAATCATCCATTTTAACTTTAGGTAATTTTTTTATTGTTCTTCTAAAAAGACACTGTAGTCTAAAAACATATATTTTATGTCATGATCTGGAATTCAGTCGAGATTCAATTATATATCTGTTTTATTTTCATATCTCGTCTCGAAATTATTTTATAGTTTGTTGAATTATATTTCGTTTCTTCAAATGATTCATTTTATTTCTTCCTACAATATGTGAGTCGATGCAAACATAATTTCGAGTGTACCTTGAAAAGATAAATAAATAAATGAAATCAAAAACATTTCATTGGCTATGCAATTTTACCGAGTGACACCAATTGTCATTCTATAGTAATAGATGACATGCTCACTTAATCGAAAGTTGCCATTGATTTCTATGATACAGATCTTGATACTTTAAAAAAAAATCAATGAATTACTAAACTTAGTTTTTAGTTAATTTTCTCTACCGTACGCTTTTTCATAGTTTTATTTTTTATAAGTTAAATAATAATCAAAATTTGACTTTTTTCATTTCGTTATCAATAAAAATATTAACTATAAGTGATTCAAAATTTAGATGAATTAAAAATCATTTGTAAAATATAAAAACATACTGTTGGTTAGCCCATGAAAATGTATTTCATAATCTAGATAATCTTTATAAGAAAACAATTCAATGAAAACATGAAACAAAGTTAAAGGTTCTTTTTTTATCAATCGTTAAACAACTGTTTTCATGAAGAAGAAAAGAAGACATAAGTTAAAATTTTCTATTAGAATTTTATTGAAAGACAATAATCTCAATAAGAAACTTGTTCATCTTATATCATTGATATAGAATACATTGAATTGAATTGAAAAGATTTTCAATTGTTTTTCTACGATTAATATTATATAAGAAATACAATTTATATTTTTAGTAAGTTTGATAAAACTTAGAAATATCTTTTTATTCAATAGAAAAAAACTTGATTAAATAGAATGAAAATAATCTTTGGATTGTTTTAAAATTGATGAAAAATTGCTATTTGAAATGGCATCTAAAACAATTTTTCCAACCGTTTGATAATCAGTTAATTCCATATATATTTGTGCACTGATTCGACAATAAAATTTATTATCAAATTGAAACATTGGTAAAAATATATTATATTGATTTATTAATTTTTGATATAAAATATTCATTTTATCTAATGAATCAATGTTTAAAGGTAATTCTATATTATTCATCGTACTTATAAATATATCATTCGATGTTAATGTTGAACTATTCCATAGTTGTGCAAGTAAATTACCTGCTTGAATAGCTAATTGATGATTATAATTAAAAATGTCTGTTTCATTAGCAATTGTTTCTCGAAAATCTAAAGCATCGGATATAGTTAAATAAGAACTATAATCTTTTGTTCCAAGCCAAAAAAATTCATTTTGAAATGATTGTAAATAGCCAAACGATGTTATTATTGGATGAATTAATTTTTGAAAATCTTTTTTAACATAAAGTAAACAAGCACTTCGATGATTATACAACCATTTATGTGTATTTGATAAATAAAAGTCTGGATCTAATTTTTTTAAATCAAGTTGAATAGCACCAACAGCATGTGCACCATCAATAAGTGTTAAAATTCCTTGTTGACGAAAATATTTTATCATTGTTTCAATATCAAATAATATTGCTGGAATCGAACTAATATGATCAAAGACAATTAATTTAACATTTTTTAATTTATTTATTGTATCCTGAGTTTTCTTTAATAATAAATTTGTATTCTGTATAGTTTCATGATCAAGTTCAATTTGAACGATTTGTTCTTGAGTAAAAATTTCAGTTGAAACATATTGTAATGTTAATTTAACCATTCCATACGCAACATTATAATATAAAATTGTTTCGTTTGATTGAAATTTTAGCGATTTAAGTATTGAATTTATTCCAGCTGATGCATTCTCAAGTATAACTAGATCATCTGAATCACAGTTAACATAATCACTTAATCTCTTTCGTACTTTATCCATTGCATTTTGAACATCTAAACGAAACCATCGATCAGGATTCAGTTCGGCTGTTAATTGATATTCTCGAAGTTTTTCATGAACAGATTTTGGTGCTGAACCATATGAACCATGATTAATATTTATATAAGAAGGATCAAGAGAAAAAAGTGGTAATAATGAATGTCCAAAAGGATAAACAGGAAAAGTTATCCAACAAATGATAAGACACAGTAAAGTAAGTCTTTTCATTGTTTTTTGTTTGTCTTTTGAAATTGAATAAAACTTAGTTATCAGTCTGTGTTCGCTACTTTTTTCTTATCAAAATAAAATATTGTCTTATCTTCTATCGTAACATTTGAAGAAGAAAAAAAATCATCGTAAAGAATATTATATTTTTAGATACAATCAGAAAATTTTATTTTTTACTTCTTGATTCAAAGAAATATGTTCTTTCGTTTTGAATCGTCAAATTTAATATTGACATTCTTAAGAAAAGACATGAAATTTATCTGATTATCTGTTCAATAAAACAAAAAAATAGTTTCTTTTTTCTTAATTAATTCATTTTATATCTTACTGAAATTAAGAAAAAATTCAGGAGAAAAGTAAGAATAAATAATCGTTTAAAGAGTAAGCAAATTTCATCTTAATATTATATCTAATCGTCATAGAAGCTCGACGATGATAATAACAATGTTAAAAACGATAAACTTCTTTTTGAAAACTCTTAAATCTCCTTCTAAATGAATAAAAGATTTGATTTCGCTGGATTTCGTTTAACAAAATCAGATTTGAAAGATTGAAACATAAATTTTATTGTCAGAGATCATCTGAGAATATATTGAAAGACAAAATCTAAACTGATTATCATAATATTCGATGGTATAAATAAACACAATGAATATTCATTCGTGTACTTTGATGCATTTAAATGAAACAAATTCGTTTGTAGAAAGCTGGAGGTTACAGGACACTAGCATTGTAATCTGTCAATCTGTAAGTAATATTACACACTAGACGTGTGTGCTGCTGATATTTTCTTTATCTCTTTATGGATGTCAATATATTGTTATGGATGGTGAAATAAGTATTCATTGATATTTTTATAAGTTGATTTATTAGCTAAGTCGTTGAATGGAGTTCAAATAATATGTTTATGAATTTTAATAAGCACGTAGAAGATATTATGAATTATCTCTTATTTGGAGTTCCTGCAAGTATGGCAATATCGGAGAGTATTTTTATTTCATCAAGTCCAATATTAGAATAAAGAGCGCAGATTTTTTTAAAATCCTCATGTTGTTGATGACAAGACATTTTTCTGATGGAAAATATATTCTGGCCTCCGATTACACTTTTTTTAAAATCTAGGAATTCTTAGAGGATCAAGGCTGTCCAAAATATAGGATTTTCGATAAAAAATGGCAAAAAGAGAGGACGTTTCATACACTGTTTCTGTTCAATTTTTTTGGTGTTTTTTAACTTCTTTGCTCGAAAATCATTTTAATGAAGCTGTTATAAACAGTTCAACCGTAGCCAAGAGCCTTATGCAATTTTTTCTAATGAAATAAGTCGCTAATTCGAAGATCATTATAAAAGTTTTTCACAAATCGATAAATAACAAATAAGTAGATCATAAGCTTTGAAAAAACAAATACTATTTCTCATAATTAAAGGAGATGTTTCAGATTACGGACGTGACTTCCGAAAAAATCTCAACCTACTTTTATTGTCCTGATAATCAGCATTCATCGCTTCTTATTTTCCACAAATTTATTTTGTATTTTATCATAACTCATTTTTTTCTGGTAATAAATAAGTGTAGATGAAAGTGAATCTACACAGGATGGTGTAAAATTTCATGGGCTTTCAGAATATGCCGTTACTTTTAAAAAATGTTTTCTTTTGGTAGCAATATCCTCAAAATACAGAGTGAAACTTTTTTTCCAGGGTATATATACAGCTTTTATATCTAACTAAAACTTCACTAACAACCAGAAACTAGTGCATGATTACTTTGTAAGTGTTTTTTTCTTTTGAACGATTTTGTATTTTGTACTTACAATGGAGGTATTCGAACTGTAAGTTGAATTTACCAGATATTTTTGCATCAATAGAAAGTCCTCACCGCCAAACTAACAAGGTTAAAATATTAGCAGCTGTTGGCATACCCTTATGGTGATTATGGAGATATTCGATTTTTCAGTGAATTTTCTCTACAGGACCGGCTTTCCCAGCAATATCATATTTTCGAATTTGAACCTGAAACTATGTATGCATGAAGGTCTCAAAGAGACTAGCTTGTAGAAAAAAATCAGATGGTTTGGACAAACTCTCTTCGAAATATAGATGTCTCAAGCATACAGCTTCTATAGAAAATTATCTATATTTTGAAAGATTCATATTTCGAAGAGGGTTTGTCCAAACCTTCTGATGTTTTTTCTGTAAGCTGGTCTCATTGAAACCTTCATGCATACATAGTTTCAGGTTCAAATTCGAAAATATGATATTGCTGGGAAAGCCGGTCCTGTAGAGAAAATTCACTGAAAAATCGAATATCTCCATAATCACCATAAGGGTATGCCAACAGCTGCTAATATTTTAACCTTGTTAGTTTGGCGGTGAGGACTTTCTATTGATGCAAAAATATCTGGTAAATTCAACTTATAGTTCGAACACCTCCATTGTTAGTATTAAACAAATTTTCAGTCAGTCCACTAAATAGACGAAAGGAAAAAATACTGTTTAAAACAAATGTCACTACAATACAAGAACTCGTCCAAAACACATGTTTATTCACATTAAAAGTTTTTATTTCGTCTAAAGACAATAGCCAAATGAAGAAGTTTTCGAAAATTTTCTACTTTTTTCGATAAAATATAGGAAATATAGGTCGAATCACAGCCCAGAATAATATATTGTTTTCTTTACGTAATAATTGAGAAAAATTGAATGTATCTTACATTGAAACTTTACTTGTGATTCTTATACATGAATTAGATTAGATGCATGTTACTTAATCCTGATCTATTTGAAATGAATTGAGTATTCAAAAGCAAAATTAATAAGTAAAATAATATTTGATAAGAAATTCAAATAAAATATGTAATTATCAAAAAAACAAAATTTGATGAGCAATATTTTTTGAAGTAAAATCTACGAAAGAATCTTGTTTTCAAAAAGCAAATATTATAATCAAGTATTCTAACATAAAAACATTTTCGATTTGAAATACAAACAGATAATGATGTAATAGGATAAAACAGTCATTAAATTAATTGATTAAAACAAAGGTTATATTTGATGTGTACATGCTTTGCTATTACCACGAGGCGAAGTATGTTTTGGAAGAACGTTGCTTCTTTGATTAAATTTTGGCATAGTTTGATTGTGTTGATCTATTCAAAAAGAAAACATTATTCATTTGATATCATTCAAAAAAGATAACTTCTCGAATCACTAAAATTTTCCTTGAATTTTCTCATAAATTTAATGAGTTTTCAGAAATTGTTGACATCATCATGCAAGAACTTCAGTTTAAATTATTTATTAGAAACCGCATATTACTCACACGATCGATTTTGCTTAAATTTGTAGGGCTGAGGAGGATAGTAAGAATAAGTTGTCGTAGGTTGATCTTCTATTTCAACGGTGGGTAATAATTTGTCTTTATTATTTTCTCGAATTATTTTAGTATTTATAGAAGATTGTTTTCTTTTGATAGAATAATATGTTTCTTTTTTTGAAATATGAATTGGTGAACATGGAATTCGTTTTTCTACATAATCTGGTATATTCCAACAATTGTTTGTCAGTTGTTCATCAGTTACTTTTACTTTTTCATTTGATGAAGTTTCATCAACAAAACAAGAATCTACAGATTCTTCATTGATAGATAGTAAATTAAGTGGTTCAAAACGATTGGTTAATTCCATGATCTATATTTCAATTTTTGTGTTGCATTTCTTTCGTCTTCGATACCTTTATATCTTGACACGTGAGCGTGGGTAATAATAATAATAAAAATACGTCATTGTATACATAAGAATGTGAAACATATTTACATCATCACGGTGTAATCGATTCTTTTTTCTTCATGTTATGAGAAAAAATATTTTTTCAAAATCAAGAAAAAGCAATTCTTCATAGTAGCTAATGAATCTTTAGATTGATAATAAGCTGAAACAAAATTTTCTTTCTAATAAATGAAGAAACTAATTACTGCATTAAATCTATGGTAAAGCAATGAATAAAATATCAGCATGATATAGAAAAAGATAAAAACTCTACGCTTGTTATCATTGTTACATCTTATTTTCGGGTAGCATTCGCAAGATTTGAAATGGTTTTGATATCAACTTTTGATTCTTTAGTTTTTCCTCCAGTATCGATCACTGATTTATACTCTCATATAGTTCTCACTCTATTTACTACTGGATTATGGGTCTTTGTTTATCGACATCGATCTTTCACATTTCTTGCTTTAGCGATGTTCTTTCCAAGTATATTTGCAATAACTATTCATATTTATCATGGTTCATTGATTCGTTTTATTTCATTTTTAATATTAAATCCTCAATGGTCAACCCTTCATTGGTCTATCATCGGTAGTTTAATTTCTATTCTATCGATCATCATATGTTGTTTGATGAATTATATGATCGGTTGGGGTCAGTTCTGTTCAAAGCAATTAACACTTCTATCGGTACATCAACATAATAGTAATTTAATTTACGGTTGGCTACGAGCCTTGGGCGAAGAAATAGGATGGCGTTCTTATCTCTTGCCTGGTCTATTGATTCATTTTTATCCAATTGTAGCATTGAATATAAGTGGATTTGTCTGGGGTTTATATCATGTACCTGTTATGATTCTATTATGTTATCATCCAGAATCTAAAGTTCAATATCCTATTCGTACTATTATCGTTCAATTTTTATCATGTTGGATTTCAGCATTTTTCTATGGATGGATTGCAATTCAATGTCAATTTTCAATGATACCACCCGCAACAATTCACTTCATTTGGAATCAAATAAATCCTCTACTACTAGGCTCAATCTATACAAATACACCAGGATGGATGAATGGCGAACAATGGAAAATCAACGGAGAAGGTTTTATGGGATGTATGGTTTATTTTATTCTAGCCACAATTATTACAATACAACTGAGATAATATCTTATCGATTATAGTTTATGATTTATAAGAATATTTAAACTATCATGCAATAGAATCTTTATTGTATCTTAGAAATTAATAAATCGGAAAAATATTTGAAACAAGGATATCAAATCGATTTCAAAAGTAATAAAAAAGATTGATTTATGATGATTGAATTTGATCACTAATATAATCTATATTCAACACCATATTAATAAACTAGGTCATATTTTCTTTTTTTTCAAATATTTATTATTTCTTTTCAATTTGATTTAGATGAAGATAAGAATTCTATTGAACAGATATCATGTAATATTTTTGAATCTTTTGTAATAATGCATATTTTCTTTGTAAACATTTAAATATCTTCATTTTAGTATTCTAATTAAAATTCTAATTACCCACAACAATAGATCTCACCTCCTCATCAGACAAATACCTAAATGAAATAATAATTCGATAGAATCGTTTTAAATGATTTTGACCTTGTTGTTCTTGATAAATACAAATTCTTTTCCCTTAAAATCAACTTCTACATTGAGATATATTCATTTTTTATGAGAACAATATCATTGAAGTTTATTTTAAAAATTCATGAATAGCGACATTCTCTTTAAATGAATCTCAAATTTTCTATAATATTAATTAATGAATTTCTCTATGAAAATAACAAGAACTCTATTTTTGTATGATTTGATTCATTTAATCTAATTTCAATACAATGATTATACTGATCATTGCAATTACGTCAAAGTTATTTGAGCATTTTCTTCTCTTTTTTGATTTCTACAACGAAGTTTTGTTGTACTCTTTCAATTTCACTAAAAATATTTCTATTTCTTGTAATTCATAATGATAAGAATTATAATATGTACGTATCTGAATAGAAATCGATAGCCACAAACTAGTCGTACTGGTCATTTGAAAATTTTGATTTTGTCAGCAAAAAACGGTCGACTCAATTGAACATCTCAACCAATCAAATCTGATCTGTTCAGCATATCAATAGATTAAATACGCAGTTTTTGTTTTTGAAGAAAAGTAAACGACAAGATTTACTTGATGTGTCTTATTATTGTTATAGTTCTATCAATCTTAGAGTTTCTGTCATTTACATATACACTAAGACTATAAGATAAAGAATGAACAATTGATTTTGAATCTGATTTATACTTTTTTCATTCTTACTAACCTTTGCTTCTCAATATCTAGATAACTTCTCTATAAATTGATATAGTTTTCATATGACAAAGAAATCTATTCTGATATTTGTTTATAATGAATACATAAGCGCCAAATTATCAGCAATTGAATGTATTTCAACAGTTGACTCGAAATAATACAGAAAACTTAAGTCAATATTCTAAGTTCGCAAGTCTAAAGTTACGACAATATCTATTTTCCAATGGCTGTAGATTAGTAACAACATAGTACGTTCTAAAATTTTCAAATTTTCGATATGGACTAAAAGTCGTTAAAATACCTGTTAAGTAATCGAATTCTTCTAATAAACTTTTCTATGGATAGGACTTGTTTTCAATTTAGATAAAAATTAATTGCTAAAAAATTGAAAACTCAGATCAATAAAAAGGAACTTATTGTTTTCAAAAATCGATTACTAGTGTTGGTAAGTTTATCTTTATACGATAGAATTCAGTTCATTATTGAATAAGGCGATTGTTACGTAGAAATTAATCTTGACATCTAACTGAATCGAACAAAGTTTCGATCAATATCTTGAGATCTAACCAGTCAATCAACTTTCTAACAAATATTCGTTGGAAACAAAACAACATTTTACTGCTTGTTATGTCTCCTTATCATAGGACATCTATATATTTTGTTTTCGTTATGGATCTTCACATGTTTACGGTTATATGTTTGACCAATGAACCCTTGTTCTGTTGAATCTGATCTGATCTATATATATATTGTCTCAACGTCTAAAATACCTACAAATTATCTAGTCAACAGTGAAATGTTTTCCTGTATTTCATTTGTATTCTTTCATGAATTATTTCCTTACTTATTACGTATATTTCTTCCGTCGTTTTTCATGCAACTGTTTATCAATACACCAGATTCGTATTTTCGTGTAATGGACAATTTTACTGGTTTGATTGAATTCACATTTGGTATTGTCTGGTCGTTGATTTACACATTGCATATGCAAGTCGAAAAATTTGCAGCTTCATCAAATACTAGTATCTTTATATATTCTTTTATGGTCATTGAGATTAGGTGGATTCTTGATCTATCAAATGTTTGTGCTTGGCCCATTAGACACTCGAATTGATGAATTGACAAAGAAAAATGGACGAATTGGCCTAATTAATTTTTGAATGTGTACACATGCATTCTGGTCGGTTATATGTTGTCTAACATTCGTATTACTCCATGCGTTTTTCATTCCAAATGTTGAATTTAATATTTTTGATTTTCTCGAATTGATGTTTTAGACTTGTGGATTCTTCATAAAAACATTGGCTATTTGAAACAAATTGAAAGCAAAAATGGCGAAGAACAAAAAATATTACCATCTTGGGACCATGTGGATCTATTCTCGAAATCCAAATCATTGTGGTGAAATTTTCTGTTGGTTAGAATTATCGATTATAGTTCTCAATCTTTTTTTTCATCATCCTATATTTCTCTTTAACATTTTCATATTAATCTTGAGCGCAATGAGCCCTTTATTTACCTTAGTGGTAATAATATTTGAAGCCATATTAACATTAGAAATTAGTAATAATAAACGTTTTGGGAATCAAATAGAATATCATCAGTATCGTAAACAAACATCCGTTCTCTGCTCAATCACATCAAAACTTTATCTTCGTCTACCTCAATCGATAAGGAAAACGTTGCTTTTCGACTTGAATATTTACAAAACAGTATTGAAACAAATAACACATTAAAATAAGCCGATATATACATATATATATATATATATATTACATTTTTTTTTTCTTTTTAATAAAGAAACTTATTTTGATTAGTCTTAACAAATCAATCTTTCACATCTTCGTCACAGGTTGTTTTTAAAACATTGAAAAATGATTTTTCTGATGACAATAACTAGACAAATACGTAAATACTTTTTAGACTTGATAAATTCATAAAGATGTTCAATTGACAAATAGCAATACGTTAAACACATGATCTCTAACTTTTCATTTTGTTGCAGTAGTTTTTATTATCTAGCTTATATTATTTGTGGTAATCAATATAAAATAATAATAGATTCTTTATTTTAATCTACATTAGATCACTTAAGATATATAGGCTGAGAAATTTTATTTGCAACGAATTGATTTATTTGAATACTATAGAAAGCGTTTCTTCTATTTATTACTAACAGCAAGTATTTCTAGTAGATTTTTTATATTGTCTCGATGCTAGTTCGTAATTTATATTAAAAATAGTATAGATCAACAGATTTGTTTTTGTTTTTCATGCGATTGAATGTAAACGTTGATACACTCAAATGAAATGAATAATAGGCAAAGTGAATGTATCGCTAATGTGTGGACAAATTTTAATTCATCTCGTTTAACAAGAATCACTACACAATTCAGTGCAGCTGTAGAAAAAAAATAAAAATATGTTGTAAGCAAGCTCTATTTTACTTATTGTGGGCACACACACGCACACACGCTCTCTCTCTCTCTGCTACGTTTTTGATGAGAGAAAAGCGACATGAAAGAATAACAGTATGATCAAGAATAATTCAAGTGAAAATTAAAAGCATTGTGCATTTGATCAAACATATGTAGAATTTTGCCTGAAACAACGAAATATAAATTATCAATGATGGAAAAAACGGAACAATTACACGAAAAATCTTCTTTACTTAATGATCGTCTTGAAACATTCAGTCTTGTATGGATCAGAAATGAAATAGACAAAATTGAGCAACATCAAAATCATGAACAAAAACTACGTACAATTATTAATCATTTAAAAATATTCGACAATATTGAACAATGTCAACAATACTTTCAAGTTATATCAAAGGAAGATCGTTTTGTTGTTATTATCAACGATAAATTAAGTCGTGAAATTGTACCAATGATTCATAATCTTAATCAAGTATCTTCGATTTATGTCTATTGTTCTGAGGAAAAAAAACACAAAAAATGGAGCAAAGATTTTTCAAAGGTTAAATATTTCTCATGATATTTTTCTTATAAGTCACAGAATCTTTGTAGATTAGAGCAATAACAAATGATTTTGCCGAAATTCTCATTCGAATTGAAGTCGACCAGAAGATACGAATGAAAATAGAAGAACCATTACCGATAAAATCATTGAACGGTGACGATGAAAATAATTTATCAATAACAAAACTCGATATTTCTTGCATTAATTTTCAAATTCTTATCGATATTCTACTCCGAATACGGTCAAATGATGAAGATATAAATGATCTTCTGCATTTCTGTAAAAAAGAATACAAGGGTAATAAGAGTCATTTAACTATGATTCGTGAATTTCAACATAACTATTCAGCTAATGCAGCACTAGATTGGTATATTCATAGACCATTTCTACAAAAAATTTTGAACAAAGCTTTTCAATTAGAAAATATCGATATACTCTATGTGTTTCGTCCGTTTATTCGAGATATTTGTCATCAATTAAGACAAAAACAATATCAATCACCTGTTCGAACATACAAAGGTCAATTGATGTCGAAAACTAAAGTCAATCATCTGAAAAAGCTAATGGGCAAATTAATATCTGTAAATACATTACTGTTAACAAGTACCGATAAACCATCAGTTGTACATGATTTAGAAGAAACAACTCCTTCGAATAATATGCAAAAAGTATTGTTAGAGATTGATGCCGATCCTCGAGCAGATATTTCGATACCATTTGCACAGGTTAACTCGAATAATGATAGAGATAATGATAAAGATATATTATTTATGGTTGGCTCAATTTTTCGACTTGTGAGTATCTTTTATGACAAAGAAAAACGATGCATCATTCGAATGACATTATGTAATGATAATGAACCAGATTTAAAACAAATCTTCGAAAATATGAGAAACGAATATGGTTATGGAGAAACAAATCTTCTTGCATTAGGAATGATATTAAGAGATATGGGTAAATTTGATTTAGCTGAAAAATATTTATTTCGTATGCTGAAAAAACTTCCTTTAAATGATCCTTTACTCGATGCTTTATATCCATCGCTTGGTTTAGTTGCAAAAGATAAAGGTGATTATGATAGATGTTTACATTGGTATTGTAAATCATTGAAAAACTATATGGTTACGCGTCCATATGATTATCTCACCATTGGTGATACATACAATACCATTGGAACTGTTTATCATGCATATAAATGTCAATATGATAAAGCACTAAATTATTTTAACAAAGCTGTTTTACTATTGAAACAATTCGATGCTGAAATGCATCCTATGATGGCTAAGCTTTACGATAGTATTGGTGCTGTTCATGAAGAACAAAGAAATTATTCCGAAGCACTTATATACTATCAAAAGTCGCTTAATATCAAGAAAAAACATCTTACTAATAATCATTTTGACTTAATTATTTCATACAAAAACATTGCTGCAGCTCATGGATACCTTGGATCCTATGATACTGCGATAGAATTTTATAAAAAAGCACTCGAAATTCAGATGAAAAAGTTTTCATTACAACATCCTGATATTGCTTTAACATATGCAAATATGGCTGCAGTTTACGCTGCTAAAAATCGATCGCAACAAGCATTAACCTATTGGCATAAAGCAAACGATATTTTTCAAACTACTCTATCACCGCAACATCCATTAATTGTTAAAATTGAAGAGGAAATTAAAAATGCTTCATCGAAAATTACCAACAATGTTTCACCAAAAATTACTAACCATGTTTCGATAAAGAAGCCAGGAAAAAAACGCGTAATAGTAACTTGAAACGGTGTATATTTGATTTTTTTCCTAAAATGACAAATTAAAAATGATTTATTTAAAAGAAAAAGCAGAATTTATTCCTCTCCTATTTAATATATAACGCTACTCTGTTATAGCTGGATACTTTCCTGAAGTTTTCAGATATTTGATTAACTTCATTTTGTAGACTAATACATTTTATTTTCATTAACATTGTAAGAGATCTAGTTGATTGGAATCTATCTTAGAGTTCTTTCTATTGATATCTTTTTAGGATAATCATTGGACGCTGATTAAAACAACAAACAAAAAAAAAGAAAAATATTCAATGTATATCTAACTTTCATATTGAAAGAATTTTTTTGTATGCACCTTAATATTGCCAGAATATAAAACGAGAGAAGGATGAATCATGATTTTGTTTTCTGTGTTAAATATGGTATTAGTCATTCTTTATAGGATAAACCCATCAAATGTGCTAGTTTCTATAATTGTTTGATATTAATTATCAATGAATATAGATTTTAAAATCGAATAAGTGAAATAATTTCGATAGTGAACAAAATAAGTTGTTATTCATTATAAATTCTACTATTTTTGTATAATATTGACTTGATATTGTGAGTAGATGTGTGTAGTCATTCAACGTTGAAAACAATCATTAACTTAATAACTTCAAGCATTTCATCTATAGAGAATTTTGTGATTCATACACGAATCTACTATTATGATCACTTTGTCTCAATTGTCAAAATCTTCTATGAAAGGTCAATCGTGTAACTCACCACATTGATTGATTTTCTCAGAGAATTCTAATTACTAAGATCTTGATTATCTATGATGAATTCTCTTAATAATAAAGTAGATATATCCAGTTGCTTTCGAAAAAGGATAATGGAATTTTAAGATTAATAAAATGACAAGCGCAAACTATTTAAGTATATATTTCAAGCGAATGACTTTTCATAACAAAAGAAATTAGCTAAGTTTTAATTTCAAATATATATAAACTGATTGAAATATTTGAACTTGGTACGTAATTTCATACATTCAAAGTATCAGCTCAATATAAAAACGTAACTATAATGCTTTCTCGATGTGTAACTATCGTAAATGAAACGGTATCAAGAGTGCGTCAGAAGGAAAGTGGGTTCAAGTGCATTTTACTATATATGATTCTTTATCGGAAATATTACTGCAATCGAAAATAATGTCGGTAAAAGTAATTAATAGAAGTGCATTTATTTCCTTTTCCTTATATTGAAATTTAAAGATGATTATTGACATTTTAATTTACTGTTCTGAACCTAATGTCAAAATTATTGATAAAAAGAGAAAAAATTCGACACACCAACTCATTACTACAAAATTGTCATTCAGATATCGTTTACTCAATGCTAACAAATTACTCTAAAATCAAATAATATTCCTGTTCTTTGCATTTTCTACTGATAAAATTTGACTCTGATGTAATGTAAGTAGAGCCCAGCGGTTCTACCCGATACTCGGAACCGAAGAATTAAAAAAATGGTTCTGGTTTCGGTTCTTAAAAAGTCTTTGGAGCCGTTGTTTAATAATAATGTATGAAATTAATGATTTTTTTTACATATAATTGCATCTTTCATGTTTCAAGTGTCAATGTAATTTTTTTTCTTGAAAAATCAGTTGTTTTTCAAAAAACAAAGCAAAAAAGCAAATAAGAAAATTAGTATAGTACAATATGTTCACATAAAAATATTTATCAGTTAATTAATTAACACTAAAACTCGTCGTTTGCTTTATCGTCCTAATCATCATCGCAAATAAAAATATCATCTTCTTCGTCTTTTTTTCAATAAACCGTTGAACATTTTTACAACAGTACGTTTTTCTCGTCAATACTAGTATACTAAAATGTAAAAATATTAAGTGTAAAAAATAAAGAATTATTCACATCTACGTGTGTTTATCATAGAAAATTATTCTTTGTTTTTCTTTTTATGGTACGTTGAGAGTTCGAAGTAGTACGTGCATGGGAAACTTACAGGAGTAATTGAAGTTACAAAAATTATAAATCATAGATGACTCTAGTTATCAGTAAAAAAAATGACTGTTCCAACGGTTCCGGTTTCGGTTCCTTTTTTTCGGGAACCGCTGGGCTCTAAATTTAAGTGTAATTAATTTTTTATATGGTTTACATGATACAAGACATTTATACAAAAACCAAACAACGCAAGATACGCTGGATAAAATAGAATATGTTTTCGAGATGCAACGAAAAGTTGCATTAACAAAGAAACTGGCAAGTACTTCACTTTTGTTATTTATTTTTCTAGCATAAATAATTTAATCAGAATGAGAAAGTGCAATCGAAAAAAGAGACTGACCTTAATTTAATTGAATAAACTATAAATATACACCTAGTCGTGCATTTTTTACTTCATTTTCTTCTAATGGAATTTGTTTTCTAAATTTGAAGGTTACAATGAATATAATCGACACGGACAATCAACAGACTCAATTAAAATCACAGTTGTGTTTCTTGTTCGGTTCGAAACATTGTGTTTTCCTATCGATCATTATCATACTGCTCCTTATGGTAGCATACCTATCTGAACAATATAGGAATACGCAATTTATCGGGTGGCCCATAAAGAATGAGGGTTTCACTGTTTTTTCAATATCTTAATCAATTTTTCATATTTTTCTGTTCTCTTTTTTTCGTTTGATAGAGAATTTTTTTCTCTACAAAAATAGTCTAAATTTATTTATTTAAACAGTTGCCATTAGCTTGTTTCAATCGATACAATCGATTCGTCCAAGATGTACACCTTTCAAAAACAACTTCAGGACGGATTTTCTTCACACTACGTTGCAGTTCATTGATAAGAGCCGTTTTGGATGTCACCAGATCCCAGTTGATAGCACCGGTAAATTCATCCCAAATGCAATAATCCAGGGGATTTAGATCAGGACTATTTGGAGGTCAGTGGTCTTTGTCAATGAAACATGGTAAATCAGTTCGACACCAATCTTGAGTTTTTCGGTGAATATGCGACCTTCCTCCATCTTGTCGAAAAGTCCAGTTGTCACCGAACATGCCGTTTCCGAATTTTGAGAGCCACAGGGAGTACTTCTTGTATGTACCGCTCATGATCAACTGTTCCGTTTTCAAAAATCACCAAAGGGGGCACCCATTTGGAACATGTTCCCAGCCAGACCATAATTTTTTTAGGGAATTTCTGTACCTGCCTGATACCACCTTTCACATCAGCATCAGCACGGCTTGGCGCCCAGATTCTCTCGTTTTGGGAGTTATAAACTCCATCAATGTCGAACATTTTTTCGTCAGAAAACAAAAATCGCAGTGTCCTCTTTACGAAAGTTCGTTCGTATCCATTTTGCAAATTTTAATCTTTTTGCTTTTTGGGCTTCAGAAGTTTTTGACTGGGTTCTTTTCTTGTAAGATTTTACTTTTAGATCATCTTTGAGAATTCTCTGAGCACTTGTACGAGATATTCTCAAATCACGTACAATTTTACGGCACGAAAAAATTCCTAATCGATCATGTCGCTGTTTTACCTTCTGTATGTTTGCTGCAGTTCTTACTGCTCTTGGACGACCCATTAATCTCAATAAAGTAATCCGGCCGGTGTCTCGAACCATTTTGCACCACCTTTCGACGGTTGATAAGCCTACTGAACCATGAAGATTCTCATGGATCTTAATACAAGATTGTCCAGCTTTATATTTTGAAAGTACTATGTTTTGAAGCTCTTTACTCTTCATACTTTCGCACCAGAAAAATTGTACAATGGCACAAAATGTGTACTTATGAATTTGTAGAGAAGAAAATTCTCTTTCAACTGGGAAAAAAAGTATTGATAAATTACGGATAGTTTCCGAGATATCCATGAAATATTACAACCGTCATTCTTTATGAGCCACCTGATATTATGCTAAACATCGATTAACAATAATAAAAATTGTTGAATATATTTTAAAAACTATTAAATATTCAATAAAATCTTCAGAAAAATATTCAGTGCTTTATAGATCTCATGAAAAATGTGATTATATGAAAGATTTTATGTTACATGGATTTGCACGCATCTTTGAAGAAAATCTACATGTTTTTAGACCTGCATAAGTATCAATATTCAACATCGAAATTATGGAATAATGAAGAAACTAAAGATTATTTCCAACAAACTTTATATGGATTTTGATATGGTTATAAATTGGCTCTTAGAAACTATATTTATTTGTATGAACGAGATACAAAAGATCTTTGTCATAAAGACGTTATGAAAAATAATATAAAAAGAAAAAATATTCTCTTATCGTTTTCGGATCGGTACTTCGTAATAATGAGTTATTTTCGTTAACTATATAACATTATGAACGATCTAGAATAGTTCTCATTGATGGTGAGGATGAATTAAAACATAAGGGTCGATCTGAATATGCAAAAAGGGGAGCCTACTTTCTTTGAGAGATACCAGACAATTGTGATCAATTTATGTAGCATATTTTCGTTATTTTGAAAACTAAAAAAAATAAATCATTGATAGTGTTGATTTTCTTTTTTTTAAACATGAAACAAAACACAATAAATCGAGACATATAAATGCCATATACTACTGTAGTGTATCATCAACATATGATGCGTTCGGAGAGTATCCCCGGAAACTCGATTAAGTGCTAGGGAACCAAACCTAGCAGATATAATAGATATAGAGATATACAGCGTATAGGGTGTCTAGGATAGTGGCGTAACCACAGGGTGAGCTGGGGTGTGGGGGTGGGTGTGGTTGTAAATGTGAGTGTCTAGTCTTATCCTAATGCATACCCACCCACACCCACACCCACAATTGGCT